CTAGGAGTAAACTTAACAAAGGATGTGAACGACCTCTACAAGGAGAATTTACAAACCCCTGAAGAAAGAGATCGAGGAAGACTACAGAAGGTGGAAAGATCTCCTGTGCTCATGGATTGGTAGAATTAATATAGTAAAAATGGCTATACTACCAAAAGCAATCTACATGTTTAATGCAATTCCCATCAAAATCCCAATGACTTTCATCACAGAGACTGAAAAATCTACCCTTAAATTCATTTGGAAACACAAGAGACCGAGAATAGCCAAGGCAATCCTCAGCAAAAAGAGCAATGCTGGAGGTATCACAATACCTGACCTCAAACTATATTACAGAGCAATAGCAATAAAAACAGCAATGTACTGGCATAAAAACAGACATGAATTCTGTGGAACAGAATAGAGGACGCAGATATGAATCCACACAGCTATACCTACCTTATTTTTGACAAAGGCGCCAAAAATATATCATGGAGAAAAGACAGCCTCTTTAACAAATGTTGCTGGGAAAAATGGTTACCTGTCTGCAAGAAACTGAACTATGAGTGAAACTATGTCTATCACCCTGTTCTAGTGTCAACTCAAAATGGATCAAGGACCTTAATATCAGACCCGAAACTCTGAAGTTAGTACAGGAAGGAACAGAAAACACTCTGGAAGTAATAGGTATAGGCAAAGACTTCCTCAATAGAACCCTAGCAGCCCAGCAACTAAGAGAAAGAATGGACAAATGGAACTTCATGAAATTAAAAAGCTTCTGAACAACAAAAGAAATGGTCTCTAAACTGAAGGGACCACCCACAGAGTGGGAGAAAATATTTGCCAGCTATACATCAGACAAAGGACTGATAACCAGAATATACAGGGAACTTAAAAAACTAAATTCTCCCAAAACTAATGAACCAATAAAGAAATGGGCAAGTGAACTAAACAGAACTTTCTCAAAAGAAGATATGCAGACTTTAGATCTAGGGCAAATACAGCAATGTGGTTGGACTTGGATCACATGACAAGGGGAGACCACATATGGGAGGTATGGGGATAGGTAGAAAACCCAAAACATGAAAGCGTTTGATGTCCCCACTCCAGAGGAACTAATACAGAAACCTTAAAGCGACAGAGGTCAACATGAGAAGAGGATCAGGAACCAGTGTAAAGATCAGAGATGAATCAACTTGGGTTGTAACACATTTGTACATGGAAGCAATGCTAGGAATCTCTCTGTATAGCTATCCTTAACTCAACTAGCAGAAATGCTTTGTCTTTCTTATTATTGCTTATGTCTTCTCTTCAACAAAATTAGAGATAAGGGCAGAACAGGTTCTGCCTGGAAGTGAGGGAGGTTCGGGGGGCGGGGGGAGAAATGACCCAAATAATGTACGCACATGTGAATAAATGAATAATAATAAGAAGAAAAGAAAATTAGTTTCCCAGCAAGTGTGTATTAAAAAAAGGTAAAGAGATTCCTTGGCCACATACAGTGATCTTTGACTGTTGTCTGCTTCCAGACAAAAATCATACAGTCATACCTCAAAGACCAAAGAGAGCAGCTGCATACGGAATTCACACAGAATTGGCACTGGGCTTTGCTAAGAACCAAAAAACAGGAGTCAGAGAACAATCCAGAAATGGAGATGGGTTCAAGGTCTGTTGCCAAGAGAGCTTCCCCAGGAGCCAAGGAAGTTGGCCTGACCGTGAACAACTCAGGAGACACCTCCTTAGGTCTTGTGATTCTGTGCTGAAAGACTGAATCCTCCCTAGCTGGGACAGGTACGCCCACATCAATTCGACAAGTACAGTCGTTTACTTGCTGGAATACTTGGGAAAGGTCTAGTCTTTAGAAGAATTAGCTCTCCAAATTAAAAAAAACCAAAAAACCAAATCCACCCACTCAAATGGGAAACCTCTGTGTTTCACTGTGGTGATGTCACACAAAGACTGAATTCTGATTTGGAGATATGGATGCTCAGCTGTCACTGCAATAGACCCATGTCTCTGTTGTTCTAGGGAAGATTCGCTTCCATCTACCATTCTTTCCCCTGAAAATAGTTACAAAGTCCAAACAGAATCTCAATCATACAGTGTAGCTGGAATACTTCATTACAGCCTTGCTTTGCTGTTGGAATTCCAAGTAATAAACTTTGGGTGATAGATATGTAACTACCTTGATTTAACCATCCCACAAATATATAAATAAATATATATCAGAATCTCACATTGCACTGCATAAATGTATACAATTATAATTTGACAATAAAAACCAATATTAATAATAAGACAAAACTCTTCAATTAAAAACAAAAGGAAACTTTCATAAAATTGCCAAGACTAAAAGTTAGCCTTGGCCAGACACTGGTGGCTCATGTCTGTAATCCTAGCTACTCAGGAGGCAGTGATCAAGAAGCCAGTCCCTGGGAAATAATTCCTGAGACCCTATCTTGAAAAAACCCAACACATAAAAGTGCTGGCAGAATGGCTCAACTGGTAGAGTGCCTGCCTAGTCAGTGTAAGGCCCTGAGTCCAAACTCCAGTACAAAAAATAAAAGTGTGCCTTTGATCTTTTATTTTTGGTAGTACTAAGGTTGAACTCAGGGCCTTATGGTTACTAGGCAAGTACTCTACCACTCAAGCTGCGACCCCAGCCCCAGTCTGTTCTTTGTGGAAAATAGCAATTTTCTTACCTGACTGCTGTCTAAGGACAAAATCACAGTAATTAACTTTAAAGGTCTCAGTTAGCTTTCTTTTCTTTCCTTGTTTGGTGCTAGGGATTGAGCCCAGGGCCTCTGGCATGGTAAGCTGTATTCTACCACCAGGCTACGTCCCGCAGACCTGGCTTTACTTTTGATTCTAGAATCAGACAGCACTTCACCCCGTGCAGTAGAATATGTGTTGCGATCAGCCGAGCAGAAGTGCGTTTTATTCATAGACAGAAAACAGCTGCAGAAAGCAGAAAACAAAATGAAAAGTGGATTGTTTATGATAAGAACTGCCTCTTCTGCAGCCTGAGCTGCAGCTGGTCTCATCCCTGGCAGATCAAAGCCCACTGTTCCTTATCTCCCACCACCTCTCTTTGTCTGTCCCTTGCCCTTGTTTTCTCCCAAATGCTACTTAAGGCCAGACTTGCCGAGAGAAGCTGCTGCGCTCTTTTCTCTCTGCCAGCCAGCCTGCTTACCTGCTTATTAAACTTTGGACATGAGATACCTCTTGTGAGCCTCCTTTGTGTGCGATGTGTGGCATTTTCCTAACAGTTTACATCAGGGTTATTTTCCTTAAAAGGGACAGTAGATAAATAACTGATTGATTAACATCAGATTACTTCAGGATACTTTTTTGTCTAAGATTAGACAGAATAGGGCTGGGGAATAGCTCAAGTGGTTTCATTATCATGCCTACTGCAAATGGGTGTTACCTCTCTAACACTGATTTCTTTTTCTTTTTTTTTTTTGGTGCACTGGGGTTTGAACTCAGGGCCTCCCGCTTGCTAGGCAGGTTCTCTTACCACTCCACCAGCCCTTTTTTTGATGGGCTCTTTCTTTCTTCCTTTCTTCTCTTGTTTCTTTCTTTCTTTTTTTTTTTTGTGATGGGTTTTTCCTTCCTACCTTCCTTCCTTTCTTTTTTTTTTTTTTTTTGTGGAACCGAACTTTGACTCAAAGCTTTGCACTTGCAAAGCAGATGCTCTACCACTTGAGTCACACCTCCCTCCCTCCCACATTAGTCTCTTGAGTGCTGGGATTACAGTTGTACATCACTATGCCCTAATCCTGATTTCCTTTTTTTTTGTAATTTTGTTTTATTTATTATTATTATTTTTGGTAGTACTGGGGCTTGAACTCAGGGCCTCAAATTCAGGGCCTCATGCAGGTGCTCTGTCACTTGAGCCACTCCACTAGCCCAATCCTGATTTCTTATAAGGATAAAACAGCTTAATTTGAGTTTGAGGTGAACTTTAGAGTGAGTGACTCCATTTTGATTTTTAGTCTGTTGTAACCTAAAGCAGGAGTTTAGTCCAAAACCAGTAGCCTCTGCTGGGCACGTCAGGAAGACTGAAGTTTGAAGCCAGCCCAGGGCAAATAGTTCATGAGATCCTATCTCAGAAAAAAAAAAAAAAGAAAATCACAAAAAAGGGCTGGCAGAGTGGGGTGGCTCAAGTGGTAGAGTGCCTGCCTAGAAAGCAAGAGGCCTTGAGTTCAAACCCCAGTGGTGCCAAACAAATAGTAGCTTCCTATTACTTTTATTTAACATTGCTATCAGCCAAAGTCATGACATAGCCTCTTCAGAAGTTGGTACCACAAAAATCACAGAAAAATTGTTTTAGTGAGCCAGCAACTTCTAGGAGAGGCTTAAGTTTTCATGTATTTGTGCATAAAATCTAAATGAGATAATTCTGCATTATGATTTATATAAGGGGCAAAGTGCTGTTTGTTTGTTTGTTTTCCTTCCTTTCTGACTTCGAGGTGTGATGTTACACCCCTTCCTCCCTTCTTCCTGGTAGAGATAGGCAAAGTGTCACCTTTGCTTTCACAGAGGCTAAAAAATAAGGCATATTTTTAAAGTTCCAAATTAATAAAAGATCACTTTTAACACATAACAAAAAAAAATTACATCCAATGCAATTGTGCTTTTCACAGTTAATTATAGAATTTATAGAGGACCTTAATTCCTGGTGAACTCAAGCACTCTGGTCTGGTAATGAGCTCTAGTTTAATTCCCTGTACAAAGCCTCTGTCCTGCCAGCAGTGCTGAAATCTAAACCCTACTGAGCTCCTTGTAATCCAATAACCACCACTGTCCTGCAGAGATAAGCTTTGATGGTCAGCTTTGGATCAGGAGTAGAGTTGCAGCTCCCAACCTGCGGAGCAGCTAAGGCGGGGAGGTGGGGGAAGGCCGGCTTCCAGACCCTGGACTACAACTCCCAGAATGCCCCGAGACTCTTCCGGGTCAACCCTCGCGAGAAAGTCCCATAGTCTCGGGAAGCTTTAGTTCCAAGACTTGCCAGCGGACCGCCGCCTGTGCGCCCTGGTTGGTGGTGTGGACCCTGGAGTTGTCCCACAATGGCTTGGGTCTGGACTGCCCCACACCCTCTCCGGAGACTTGGAGCCTCCGAGCCTCTTTAGTGCTGGATTTCGGGCCGCAGGCAGCTGGACGACAGCAGGAGAACAGGTAACCGAGCGGCCTAGGCGCTCCTGGGGCTCGCCTCGAGGACGCGCTACCGGCCCCTGTCTAGGCCGGGGGGCAGGGGTCCTCCGTGCTCCCCCCTCGCTTAGAGCTCCGCCGGGCCTCGCACCCCCGGCCACACGCTACTCAGCGCTTGGCGGGCCGCGTCCTTCTGCGGAGCTTCGGCTGGTGCCGGGCCCAGCCCTCATCTCCTTGGTCTTCGCGGGGACGCTGGAGTCTGACTAGGCCTTTCGCGTCCTGTGTCTTTGTCTGCTCTCCTTATAGAGCGGGAGGGATGCGGGGAGGGAATGGGGTGCGCCTGGGTCGGGGGCGCTCCCTGGACCCGAGCACCGATCGACTCTGTTTTTTGACCTGCTCCTAAGTGAAGAACTCGGTTGTTCTCCGCACCCTATCAGATTACAGAGGCATAGTAGCAGGGTTTAAAATTTTTTTTTTCCTCAAAAGAAAAGACTGAATTGCTGCACTGCACTATGTACTGTTTGTTTACTTATTTGACAGTACTGGAGGCATGACTCAAGTGGCTGAGCGGCAGCGCAAGGCCCTGAGTTCAAACTCCTGGACCGCCAAGAAAAGGGGGGGGGGTGGAGGGGAGAGAGAAACAATTCTTGCTTTGCAGTGTGGCTGCAAGGGTTGAAAGACAAGTTTTGTGTAAGATGATGTAAATATTAGTCGATGTTAGAAACAAAAAGTGAATTTATCTATTGTGGTCCCTAGCCCTTTGCGGTGAGTTAAGTATGCCTCTTGCAAGGCTGTTGGTGGGGAATGAATGAATGTACAGGACTGTGTGATCAACTCGGGGCTGTACCAATGCTGGTCATTTGTTGTCACTAGAACCTCTGGATGGATTCTTTCTGGGAAGCTTTGCTAATTTGCAGCAGCTCGACCATGTTCCTCATTCACATCTGTCTGTCAGCATAGTGGTGACATCATTTCACTGTGGTAAGGTGACTTTTTACACCTACTTTCATGACTTCCTCATCTCGGGTGTTAAGGTCAGCCATGGATGTGAGACTCCCATTGGGAGCCAACATTGTCATCCATTGGCTCTTGTGTGTTTCATCCTTGTTTGCAAGCCCTTGTCTAAAGAATAACATTAAAAAAAAAAAAAAAAGAATAGCATTGCAGCCATCTAATCCTTGAGCCTTTAGTGTTCACCTTAAGAAAATACCCTTTGTTATTTTTATTAGGTAGCAGGGACCCAGCTCCGAATTCTGTATAGAAAAAGCCACCTGGATCCCAGTCTTTCAATGGCTTCAAGACAACCAGAAGTGCCTGGTAAACTTAATTCTTCTTGGTTATGTTTTTCTCTTCAAGGTTTAAGCTACACAGAAACCATTTTATCTGAACTATATATTAATGGTAACTTTCTGCCACCAAGAGACTATTCAGACTTAATAGATTGTCATCATTTTAAATATTACCTCATGGGTGGGAGTGGTGGTGTAGGACTGTAATCCCAGCTATAGGAGAGACTGTAGGTAGGAGGATGATGGTTGGAGGCTGGCCAGGGCAAAAAGTTTGAGATCCTATACAAAAAGTAACTAAAGCAGAAAAGGACCAGGGCCGTGGCTGAAGTGGTAGAGCATCTGCCTAGCAAGCACAAAGCCATGAGTTCAAAGCCCAGTACCATCACCAAAAAAAAAAAAAAAAAGCCTCATCAATCATTCTGTCATGTAAAAATCCCAAACCTAATTTAAGAAAGAACAGTCATTTGACTTAGAGTGACAAATGTGTTTCTGTGTATCAGGTGATGCAAATAAGAATTCTTATATGGCTCAAATGAGAGTTCTAAATGAGTTGTGTTGTTCTTACAGATGTGCCAAAGTGATTAACTCTCTCTTTTTTGGGATAGTTACAAGTAGGTTGGTGGTCTGGGCAAAAGACACTAGCCTGGTTTAATGGCAAGTTGAATTAGTTGTGAAAGTGTTCACAGCAGCATTTAAAGAGCTCTGGGTCTGTGTATGTCAATAGTGGTTGGGTTCCTGAAGTCACTGATTCCTGCTCGATTTGTTTTATCAGAAAGAAAGGTGACTTTTAATTAAATCTGAATTGCTGAATTTCTGATTGTCAGTAAAGAATACATGGCAGTGCCTGTCTCAGTGTTACTGTGAAGGTTAGACACCAGATTTTTGAAAATGTGAGTTAAAGTGGGTGCCAGATATGCATCTGTTGCCTGTGTCTCTTTCCTAATAAACATTAACTGTTATTTTTATTTAGGCCCTTGGATGGCTGTTAGGGTAAGTCTTAAAGATGGTTTTGAAACTGCACCCCGGTTAGGTGGATTGCACCATGTCCTTCAATACGGAGCCCTCTCTCTCATGTCTAACATCATCATTTGCATGTCTCATTGTTGTGATTACCATAACTCCCTGGGACCATCCAGAGCCACACTGTTGCATTTATTAGGTTAATTCATGGGGTGTGGGGAGCATGGAGTGTTGGGTGCGGAGTGTGAGCCTTGGCTTAGGTGTGCCTCACACTTGCTAGCTGGGTAATGTCTGGCAAGTTTCTTGTGGTCTGTCTATGCTTTGGTTTCCTGAGCTGGAAAATGAAGAGTATTTGCCTAGTGAGGATTGGATGAGGGGTGTAAGTACCTAGTAGTTTCTAATTGTTTGTGTGTTTGTTTTAATCAAGATCCGATGCACATACTGTAAATTCATCAATATAAAGTGAACAATTTAATGGTTTGTAGTATTCACAAGGTCGTGCAGCCATCAATATGATCTAATAGAACATTTTCATTTTCCCTAAGACAAACCTTTGTACTCATGAGTAGTTCACACCTCAGTGTTCCTTCTCCCCAGTCCTTGGCAGTCAGTAATTCTCTTGGATTTGTTAATAATTGATATTAGTATTAGTGTAATCAAATAGTAGCTGCTTGATCTCTTGCTGTTTAAATGAAGCCTTTGGTTGGTTTGGATTCACTGTCAAGCAGGTTGATGCCTTGGCAATTGTGATTATGTAATTTTAGTGACAGGAATCACCTTGAATGCAGGTTGTGGACATTAGTTCTGATAGGAAGGGATTAGCATGCCAAACAAAATGAACCTTGTTCCCTGGTCTGGCACAGCTGAGAGTGCCCTTGAAGTAGGATGCCTGAGTCACAGCAGGACATTCTGTTTTCAAGGGCCAAGAATGGCACGATGAGCTGGCAGAGTTAGGAGAGAGTGTGATTGTCAACCATTTCTGTGATGGAAATCTCTGCTGTTTAAATCAAGAGAACAATTGAAGCTGGAGATGGTTCCAGACAGCATATTGTTTTAAATATGTCTTGGTTTTTTGGTGAGCAGGGAAGGCAGATTTGTGGTCAGACTTTGCTCAAGCCTCAACTGACCATTTTCTGTAAATCATTTCACTGTTAGGACTTAGTTTTCTCATCTGTAAAATGAGAACAAAAGCAAGTGAGGTGGTGCACATCTATAATCCTAGCACATACAGTCCAGGCCAGAGATTCCAGAATTGCCTGGTGGACTACATAGCAAGACCCCGTCTCAAAAACAAAGCAAAATAAAAGAAAAATGGAGCAAAAAATATCTTCAGTCACTTCCTATCCTCTTTGGTCTTGTGTGAATTGAGAGCTTTAGCTTCTATGGCATAAAGTGCACAAGCTTTGAAATAAGATAGGTTTGGGGTTTTATTCCAAACTGTGCTTTGAAGTCATGTGACCTTGCTCATCATAAATTTGAACTGAATTTGAAGTTCCTCAATCTGTGGAAATGGATTAGGGCTGTTGAACAGGTTAAATGGGGAAGCCAATGTGTCAGAAATAGAGGAATACATTGGCACTATTCCCTTCCCTTGAATGGGTTAGCTATCCCAAAATAAGCTATTCTGTCCCAAAATAAGTTTCTGAGCTTTCCTTCCTACAGATGAACTTCATGCTACTAGTGTGTTCTGTTCAGTTGCTAAACCCATCATGACAGGTGTCTCTATTCTTAGCTCTTGGGCCTAGTGGGCCCCTAGGCAAGATGTCCCTGCCCATTGGGATGTGCCGCCGGGCATTCAGCTATGATGATGCCCTTGAGGACCCTGCACCCATGACCCCTCCTCCATCAGACATGGGCAGCATCCCCTGGAAGCCAGTGATTCCAGACCGCAAGTATCAGCACCTCGCCAAGGTACCTGACCTTCTGACTACTGCTGGCAAATCCAGCCTCTTGTTCTCCTCCCTTTGCTCCAGAAGCCTTCAGTGGCTCACTGTCCCCAGAACTGAGCAGTGACCGCTCCCTGTGTATGTTTTCTGTGCCTCGGCTACAGTTGATGTTGCCTTTTTAAAAACTCAAAACTAGAATGCTGTGTCTTCTGCGTGAGACTCTTCTGTATCTCCTCCCCGATAAAAATCTAAGCACTGGGGGCTGGTGGAGTGGCTCAAGTGCTGCAGTGCCTGCCTAGCAAGTGTGAGGGCCTGAGTTCAAATCCCAGTACTGCCAAAAAAAGAAATCCAAGCATTAGACCCAAGCTTTGGAACATGATCCAAGTTCTGTGTAAAGTCCTGTTTGCCTCCACCCAGCTTCTCTGCTCTGTGATCCAACCATACAAGTTAGCTAAGATTTCTTGCAGTTGATAGGGTATTTTATACCTCTGAGTTCTTATTTCACTCTGCTCAGGTTCCTTGGAAGTTTACCATCTCCATTCTCTCACACCCCCTCCTACCGCTCCATTCACCTGACAGTATCCTCAAAGTCTTTGCTCAAATGTCTCAGGTCTTCCTGACATGTCCATTGTCTGGATAAGACTATCACCTCTCCCCTTGAGTGCTCCACTGTACATGGTTCCCGCCAAACTGACCTGCTTTCACAGCCCTCTGGTGTAGCAGGGCCTCACAGGTTCTTGTGTGCTTGTGGCAGTTGTCCTACTAAAGCTTGTGCCACCTAACTTCACGGATGAGCTGTCACCTCTGACTCTACCACCAAGAATAAAAGAAAGGTTGTACTGTTGCCTGAAAGAACCAGGTCTGAAAGTTCTAAGATAAGGCCATTTAGCCTGCAGCTACAGATTGATAAACTCTGAGCTTCACAACTGCTTGGTGCCTGGCAGGAACATGCAGTAAGGGTCTGCTTAAACACACATGGGGATCCCAGTGGCCTGTGCACCGTGGCCTTGGAGAATTAGTTCTACCCCTTTGCTGCAGTGTCTCCATCTGAGAGACTGACACTGTGTCAGAGGTGTGGGAGGAACTGAGAGGATTTAATGGCTTGCCATATATTAGGTGTGTAGCTGATAGCATAACTTGAACTCAGTAGGGCCAGGGTTGACCCTTTGTAATGAGTTGTTTTGTTTTTAGGTTCTCAGAACAGGAGATTCCTTTCTAAGGTGTCCCCATAACTCTGGAGAGGATTCCTTATATCAGTTATCTGCTGAAATCTGACCCAGTCAGCTGTTAAGGAGAAAACAGTCTGTGTAAAAGTAGTGAGAGTTTGAGGAGAAAAGGACCCTGGCAGCCTGCATGCAGGAGGATTGAGTTTGAGCAAGATGCTGTCTCAAACAAACAAAAAATAAAAAAGACCATACTTGAACCTTTAGAGCAGTGGTCATCAAACCAGCAGCATCACCTGGGAATTTGTTAGGAACATTAAGGAATCTCGGGTCTTGTGCATGCTAGGGAAACACTGTCACTCAGCCATACTCCAGCCCTAGAAACAAATTCCTGAACCTCAGCCCAGACTAGCCTATACCTACCAATCAGAAACCCTGGTATGGGGCCAGCAGTGTGTTTAAGAAGCCCTCCAGGTGATTCTGAAGTTCTGCAAGGCCTGAGGGCCGCTAGCAAACGCTCCGATTCATTAAGTAAATTAGACTCAGTGTCTGGTGCATGGTCAGTGCTTTGAAACAAGAGTTTCTTCTGCCTTGCTCTGGGCATGGCACCACAGTAGCTGGACGGACCTACACGGGGAGGGTACTAGACTGCAGAGCTTTAAATTCTGGCTTTCCTTCTGCTGGGTGGAGGCAACCACTACCCTTTTCACATATTTCAGATAAAAGAGATTTCTGTAACTTCTTCCCCAAAGGAATAAGTTTAGGTATGTGACTCCCGCCTGCCCCCCGCCTCCGTGCGCAGCTCAAGTGCTTCCTTTCCTCTCTTGAACAGGCGGAGGAGGGAGAGGCCAGTGTATCCCCCCCTGCTGAGACCCCATCAGTGGCCACTGATGGTACCGACAAGGTCCCGGTGGTGAAGGCTAAAGCTACCCATGTCATCATGAATTCTCTGATCACAAGTAAGCACTTCAGTCTCAGAGCAGAGTGAAGTGGGTCGGGGGCCTGCTCAACTGGGCCTTATTTGTTAGCCTGACTGCTGAGCCATTTAGGTAGATTTTGCCAAACATTAAGCATCTCAGTTGATTCAGGGGCTCCTGTTGTCCATTGATAGAATCTTGTTTTCCTATATTGTCGGGGTGGTCTTGGGGAAGTTACCTAACTTTAAAACTGTTGACTGTTTTGTAAAATGGAGACTCTAGCTGGCAGGTTGAGGTGAGGATTAAGTGGCTCAGTGTTCAGTGGCTAGGAGCTGCTGCTACTGGAGAAGCATCCTCTTGCCCTGCATTGTGTGTTTTTTAATTGCACAGTTCATAGTTGGCCCACCAGGGAGAGAAACCAAATGTGTGGTTGGTGGTACTAATAAGGCCTGACTTAAGAGCTTCATAAGAAGTTGACTAAATTTCTTCCTCCTGGAGGGATGTTGTGGTTAACAGTTTCTAGATGCACAGCTCTGCTCATCAGCAGTGATACCTGTCCCTGGGGAAGGTGCATGGAGGTTCTCCTTGGTTGGCTCGTTTTTTAGGTTAAAGGCCTTGTTTCTCCTCTGCAGGAGGAGTTTTCTTGGCATCAGTTTGTTCCTGGAGAATCTACCCAAGAAGCAAAAGTCCAAACTCTCCCTTTGGTTTTCTCTTTTTTTCGCATAACTGCACCATTTGAGTCAGCAACTACCATTTATATTTTGCAAGGTTGAGAACATATTCTGGTGGAGTGGCAAAGCTTATGCATTGTTCTTTTCCCATAGTGCAGTTTACTAGTAGTACGGGTTGTAACATTCCATGTCACCTTCACTTCCATACAAGTATATTTTTATATCATTGCAGGCCTAGTAGACATACCATTCTAGTTTTTAAAATTAATACTGCTATGAACTTTTGATGTTGCCGGTCTTTAATTTTTAAAATATAGCTGCATTTAAAATCCTGGTATTAAAAAAAAATCCTGGTTTTAGTGTACTGTAATTAGATTTTTAGGTAACTGCATGGTGAGACTGGAGAATATCTTTATGCATTTGTGTTTTTTCCCCTTTGCTTCTATTTCTGATGGAAATACTTCAGAAGGGGAGTGACTAAATCATAAGGTGCATTTGGCATTTAGACTTTTGGCCCACAGCTGCCACATTCCTGTATATAAGGGCATATTGTGTATAGTTCAGCCTCATTCATTCCAGTGACTTATGAAATAATCAGATTAGACCGAGCCAATGATGAGTATCTGGTGGGCCAGGTACGGTAGGCTGTCTCACACATAAGGAACTTGGGATCAGTACACTTGAGCTTGTTCAAGGCAGGTTGTCTGTGCTTTGAATCTAGTTTGAAACCTTGGTGCCAGCTAGCTGGAATATATCCAGTTTCCTTTGGCAAAGGTTTGTGTGGGTGATGAAGGTGGTGAGTCTTTCTTAGAGAACTTCATATGTGAAGAAATTTTCATGTCTGGATGTCAGCTGCCTGCTCTGTGCTGCATTTGTAAATGCAAAGATGTCACAATGTCCATGTGAGAGGGCTAGGAGGTTCTTCAGCATCACCTTAGGAATGACCTGTTCTCCAGCTTGGTGCGAGGGAAAGCTCGCTTCTGGTGAAGGAACCTGTGTGAGATTCAGAGTCACCCTTCAGAGCCTCTCTGAAGCAACCCTTCACAGTGTGGTCTCTTGCTTTGGAGGAGAGCAGAGGATACCTGCATTGTCTTCCTCGGTTTGTGAGGGGCTGGGGGCTGGGCATGACTGTGATCTCCTCTATTCTCAGAACAGACCCAGGAGAGCATCCACCGTTTTGAGCAACAGGCAGGGTTGAGAGATGCTGGCTACACACCCCACAAGGGCCTCACCACTGAGGAGACCAAGTACCTCCGAGTGGCAGAAGCACTCCACGTAAGCATTTTTCTTAGAATTTTCAAAAAAGCAAAACCCATATTGAGATAGAGTAATAACAATTCTATTATTTAGAAGTTAGCAGCGCGGCTGTCTGGTGGCTGTGGAGAGTGGTAGAAGAAAACTGGGTAGTCCCACCTGTGGTGGCACTCCCCGCTGAAGGCCCCACAGCTCTTAGTTTTTTGGCTTCCTCCCCTATAAGGTGAAGTGAGGGTATCTGTTTTGCTTATTATTTCTGGTTAGAAGGATTGAATAGAATCTCAGCTAGCATATGAGACATCTGTGAACCATCAAGGAAATAAATTCATGGCTTTTTTTTTTTTTTGGGGGTGGGGAGACTGGGGTTTGAACTTAGAGCTTTGCACTTGCTAAGCAGGTGTTCTACCACTTGAGCCACACCTCCTTTAGTTATTTTGGAGATGGGATCTTGTGAACTTTTTGCCTGGGCTGGTCTTGAACTGTGATCCTCTTGATTTCAGCCTCCAAAGTAGCTAGGATTACAGGTGTGGCCACTGATGCCCAGTAGAAACTTCCTTCTTTAGCTAAAGTAGAATAGTAATCCTGAGTCTTCACTGTGAATGGCAGGGGTTGTACGTGTAGGAGATTCAGCAAGACATGAATTCAAGATCCTGCTTAAAAACCCAGAAGGCCTGCTGCTTGACTTCATGTTCCTGAAAGTAAAAGGCCTAGGGCACAGCTGCACCACAGTGGTGTTTGAGACATGTTACGGAATAAGTACAATTCCTTAGGAAGATGGAATCTCATCTAGTATGGCAAAAACAAAAGAATATGTTATATAGTCCAAAATAATTCCATCTCTGAATGTTTTTGTGTGAACCAGATTGTTTATGCCCATAACTTAGTTGTTTTGGTTTTGCTCTCACTTTGAAAAGTCTTTTTACCTGTCTGAACAGAAACTAAAGCTGCAGAGTGGAGAGACAACAAAAGAAGAGAAGCAGCCTGCATCTGCCCAGTCCAGCCCTAGCAGCAGTCCTCATTCCTCCCCTAAGCAGAAGCCCAGGTGAGCCCCTCCTGGATTCTTTCCAGCCTTCCTGTGCTTCAGGAGAGCTAGTGTTGATGAAGATGGACCTGTGGTTTCAGAGAGAGAAGTGCCAGTTTATAATCCTGTTCTTTTGATTGAGAGACTTCCAAAGGCACAAGAAGAGAATATATTAGAATGTGTTTTATCCTTTCTCTCTTTCAGGGGCTGGTTTACCTCTGGTTCCTCCACAGCCTTACCTGGCCCAAATCCTAGCATGATGGATCCTGGAAGTGGGGATAAGGACAGAAACTTGTCAGATAAATGGAGCCTCTTTGGACCAAGACCCCTCCAGAAGTCTGATTCTGGTAAGCCAGGTCATTCACAAAAGAAAACCGTGGCAGACACCTTAACCGTGTTGTACACCAGATGCTGCCTACTGCAGTCATTTGCTGTCTGGTTTACTTCTGCAGGAGGTTTTACCATCCAGGCCTACAAAGGAGCCCAGAAGCCAACTCCCATGGAGTTGATCCGTGCCCAGGCCACCCGAATGGCTGAAGATCCAGCAACCTTCAAGCACCCAAGATAGATGTCCCAGTGATAGAAGGGAAGAAACAACCACTGCGAGCCCATAATCTCAAACCCCGTGATTTGAACGTGCTCACGCCCACTGGCTTCTAGAGTGCTTTGTATCCCAGGGAATCTTACCCCATTGGCTCTGACATAGGAATGGTATGTTTTTAAAAAAAACCTCTGAAACTGAAACAAGAGTTGGAAACATAACTGATTTTTGAGCAACATTAGGGTAAAGCTTGTCTTTGTTGTGTGGAAGAAACCATTTTGTACCACTCTAAAGTTAGACTTAAAAAATATCAGCAGTGACCTCATGACCTATTTTTGTATCATTTACCCTAGACAAGAACTTTAATCCTTGCTTACTAGGTAAATAATGTTTATTCCAAAACAGTCTTTTTGATTCTGTTACCACGATCAATGTGAGCACTGACAAATCATGGCTTATGGCCCATAGTGAGCTTGGACAGTCTGGGTGTCTGCTGGCTGTGCAGGTGCTGTGCTCTAGCTTTGTCAATTAGGGGGATTGGGTACAGTCACCAGCCAGACTTGGCCGGGTCCCTCTTTCTAGGCTGAAACCAGAAGTTCCTGGGTTTTTGATCAGTCTAAAGGGTCACTTGTCCTATAGCCAGTTCTTCATGCCTCTTCGTTCCTCTGGGGCCACTGACGTTAGAAGGATGTTTCTCTGTCGTATGTCACAGAACAAACACTAGTTTTGAATATCCTTTCTTGCACTTTAAGTTGAAATTAACATCACTTTGGTTGAAAACTTTCTAAGTAAATTGACTGTAGGAATTTGGTATTGATAAATGGATACTAAGTTTTGTTTTAGTGGTGGTGGAGACTGAACTCAGGGTCTCATGCATGCTAGGCGAGTGTGGGACCATCCAGCCCCTGCATGTTAAATGTTTTTAAGGATAAAGAATGTGGTAAGTACAGTTGGATTATAGAATTGAGGTTCATGTGCAATGTCACCTTATTTTGCTTTGTCTAGTTTGGGTCTTGAAACTGTGTGTGTGTGTGTGTGTGTGTTTGGGTCTTGAAACTGTGTGTGTGTGTGTGTGTGTGCGTGTGTGTGTGTGTGTGTGTGTGTGTAGAGGCGTGGGGAGTAGGAGGAATTTAGCATTTTTCTATAATGAAACCATTTTCCATCAAAATGAGCCTCATACCTTTATGCAACACATCTTATTGGGAACAAAGTGAAGAAACTGCCTTTTTATTTCTCTTTGCTGGGTACATGTTCACTGACTTGAACAAAATCTTGGCTGTTGTTGTTTTGGATAGGATTTTGTTTACATTAAGAGCTAACCTCATAGAGAAGCCCTTGAGTCTAAAATTGTCAGAAAAATTAATTTATTTGTCTTTGTTATATCTCTTGTATTGACAATAAAAATCCTTATTACTTTCTCAAATGTGGATATATCTTTTTGTCCTGTTAATAGCCATTCATTCTGCCTACCCACAGTCATATAGTCTTGGCATTTTTAAGAACCATTGCCTTTTTATTGTATCTTTTTAACATCAAATGCTTTATAATACACTCTATCTTTTGTTTCTATGCCACCCCCTTTGTTACATTAGATCTTAATAAACTGGCCACAAAGTCATATTAATAGGCAATATAAAAGGTGTAATATAGAATGCCTGTGTTCTATTAGGGAAGAGTGAATGTCTTTCCAAAAACAGGCCATCAGTACCTTGGAGGACAGAACACTGATGTGTGGTTTGTTCAACAGAGGGGTTCTTGTCTCACATCCTGAATGGAAATGTTAAACATACAGTGCATATAGTATTACCTGTTTCCAAAAAAGCATAGATAAATAATTTATTAAAAATATATATGTTTATATATATATGTACACCTTGTATATTTAAGCCATATTGAGAACAAGCTAGGATAGGATTATCAAAAAAAAAAAAAAGATACTAAACTGTTGAACGTTATTACAGCCTACGTATAAATAAGATGCATTTGTCTTAACGACATTTTAAACTACTGTTCATACTTCAGAGCTTCTGAGTAGCTGGAAAGAGTTGAGAGGTATTCTTGGTGCTCAGTGCTTTGGAAGGCCCTCAGGGGTTCCAGTGCCTTGAGGGGGGCTCTGTGTCGGGGTTCAAGTCTGCAGCATAGAACAGTAGCAGCTTCAGCAAGTGCACTTTGTCTTGGAGCTGAGGGACCAGAGGCTCCCCCAGCATCTGGATCAGACGGCTTCGGAAGGCTTCGATCTGCTTCTCCACGTCCACCACTGTGATGTCATCTCCTTGCTGGGGCTTGGGCTTAATCCTTTTGATTATTAAATCTTTTCGATCAATCACTGAACTTCGTAGGTGCTCTGCAGGAAGGAAGTAAAATTGAACTGCTTGTTATTCCTTTAGGTAAAGTTAAATTTTCAGTAGATAAAGGCCTGCTGTCTAGCTACTGGTAGACAAATCAAAGACCTATGAATTACTGTGGTAACTCCCATTTCCAAAAGGCCCTGTGTTCTGGTTCACTCAGTCTTGAGAAGTTTCACATACTGATAAATTGTATTTTAGTTTTTTCCTTTGATTTAAACAGGCCTATATTAAAAAAATGAAACCGAGACTAATACAACCACTTAGAAAAAAATTCAAGTGAATTTTGAGTATCTTTAGGTAAATATAAGTATGAAAAATACTGAACTCAGTAAGTTTGTGGTGGTGTTGGTCTATTGTAGTAATTCTGAAACCATTTCATATGTATTCTAAGATAGACCAAATGAATAAATATAATTCATACTGTTGGGAACAGGACATGAAAGATTCAGAGAGGAAGAATCCTGTGGTACTGGAGCAGGGATTGAGGTGTCAGTATGAACATGTATTATAAAAGAAAGCTTAATTACATAATTCAGTAGCTCTCTTGTCAGAAAGTGTCTAGAAGCAGAGACCTTCTGTAGCAGTCAGCATTCTGAGTGCTAATCCAGATTGTGCCTCTGTACACATTCTCCATTAAAAGAAATCAGAATTTTTTGGAGAAGCTAATTCTAGGATCAAAACAAGGTACTTAAAAGGTGAACCTGGAACATTGTGAAAAAAGGAATGCTTAAAATCTGATGGGAGCTGGGCACCGGTGGCTCATGCCTGCAATCCTAGCTACTTGGGAGGCAGAGATCAGGAAGATCAGTTTGAAGCCAGTCTGGGAAATTGTTTTAAGACCCTATCTCAAAAATACCCAATACAAAAAAGGGCTGGTGGAGTGACTCAAGTGGTAGAGTGCCTGCCTAGCAAGCATGAGGCCCTAAGTTCAAACCCCAGTACCACCAAAAAACCCCAAACAAAACAGATGTGAAACCTGTCAAAAGGACATAGGAGCCAATCCAATGGAGGCCCCTGTTGGCTGACACCATCAGAAGAAACTGACACAAATGGATTGTTTTAACAGAGTGGAGTTTCAAAAGTCCTGAGTGCATAGTGGGAAAAAAAAAAAGTGAATTTAAAGGTAGAGAAGGATTTTTTTTTTTTTCCTAGAAAGAAGGTATAATTAGAAAATCACCACTTTTCAACCTACTGATTCATTTAAGAGCCACAATGGTTTTTAAAACCATCAAGCAAAAGGCTGAACAGGATAGTTCTCAAAGTTTCACTGTGTGAATCACTAATAACAAAGGGATGATGAAGTTTCACAGATGGCACCTTAACCACAATGATGCTTGTTTTTTTGTGGGACTGGAGTTTGAACTCAGGACTTCATGCTTGCAAAGCAGGAGCTCTACTGCTCGAGCCATATCTCCAGTTCATTTTGCTCTGGTTATTTTGGAGATGGAGTCTTGGAACTATTTGCCCGGGCTGGCCTTGTACCTTGATCCTCCTGATCTCAGCCTCCCAAGGAATTAGAGGTATGAGCCATGGGTGCAGAGCTGACATTGTCTTTGGATGCACTGGAAAGGTTTTTGTTTTATTTTTTGCCCTAGAACACGAAATCTGAATGCTGGGTAACATGCATGTACCACCATGCTCGGCTGTATTTCGTATTCTTGCCACTAGGTTTGTTTTTGACGGTGCTGGATGAGCCATGTTAGAATAGATTTGGACATGAATCTGGTCATAAGGAAACAATCTGATGAGGCCAGTTATTGGATATTCCACACAGTAACTGGCCTGGGCTCTTCAAAAATGTCTGTTATGAAAGACAGGTAAAGGCAGGGAACTGTGCTGGACTAAAGGAGACTGAAGAATGATTCCCAAGCCCAGTGCTCCACACTTCACTGGATCCTGGCTCAAAATGAAGCCAGTCGCCTGTAAAGAATAGTATTGGGACAACTTTAGGTATCAAGAATCAGTTTCCTGTTGGGCGCATGGGGCTCAGACTTGTAACCCCTAGCTATCTGGGAGGCAGAAATCAGGAGGATCATGGTTCGAAGCCAGCCCAAGCAACAAAAGTGAGACCCTATCTTGAAACACTCAACACAAAAAATGGCTGGTGGAGTGGCTCAAGTGGTAGAGCACTTGCCTAGCAAGTGTGAGGCCCTGAGTTCAAACCCCAGTACTGACGAAAAAAAAAACACAAAAACTAACCAACCAAACAGTTTTTTGGACAGGAGATACAGCTCAGCAGTATAGTGCTTGCTTAGCATGCTGAAGGCCCCTGAGTCTGATCCCCAGCACTGTACACACACACACACACCCAAAAAAGAAAAGAAAATTAGTTTATTGGATGTGATAATAGTGAGTGATACGAAAATTAAACTTAGTGGACTTAAGCTGAACTTACTCAGTCCAACAAAGAATGGTTAAAGATAGAACAGTAGCTAAGCCCTATGTCTCCTGTGGCAAAATGTCAACGGTTGGGGAAGGTAACAGGTGTACAGGTGTCTGTGATACTATTCTTTCAACTTTTCATATGTCTGAAAATGAAAAAACTAGGGAAAACAAAAAGTTATGAAGGTATCCCATGTCCATAGGTCAGTCCGACTAGAACTCTAGAAGCCTGTGGAATTAAGGCAAAGATATTCAAGGTGATAGATAGGACGGATGCACTGAATTCTGAGGACTTGATGATTCTGGATGTGCCAAATGCTCTACATCATTTTCTATGTCCTTGCTTATACAATGGGATGACGGTACTTGCACTGACCAACACGGCCAGTAAAAGGCTTGAACCTCTGTCACAAATTCAGGAAGTAGAATAAACTTACTTGAAGCAGCATAGTAGGTTGCATTTTCACATAATATGCTCAATACGTATTCCCTCAACCTTCAGATGGAAGAACTTAAAGTTCCTCTATACTCACACCATTGAGCTTAACTATAATGTGAAAAGAGAATAAGATAAACAGCCTACAGTGTTCCCCAAAGTCTGGAACAGAAAACAAAGCTACCTTTAGAGCCCTTTCAACATTCAAGCAGTAACAATTTACAGGGAGCACCAAGTGCACTTCTGGAACTGGACTGGACTGCAGGACAGTGGGGCCAGGGTTGATCCCAGCCCAGTGGACTGATGTTCTAGTGGCAAGAAGCCCAAGAATGAATGATCCAACAGAAATAATCACAGCCTGCTGTGAGCGCAGCCCAAGAAAGACTTGTCAGAGTAGCACATACTGGGAGGGCTCTGAGCTGCATCCTGAAGGTTCAGAGAAAGTGCAGTCCAGTAGAGAACAATGAGTACAAAAGCCTGGTGACAGGGCGGGCTCGCTGTGAGAACCAGAGAGGAAGTGAGGGAGGGAGGAGGTGCAGGGCTAGATGCAGACGCGCACGAGGATGTGGAGTTTGGCCTTTGGGAACAGAGGGGGTTACCTGGAGAGTTTTATTGGAGGGTTTTAAGTAGGGAAATGTGACCTACCTTCCCTCTGTCACTGGTGGAGAATGGTTTTAGGGGAACAAGGGCCTGGTAGTAGAATTTGATTTTCTTAAACAAGGCATGAGCTACTCTGACAAATCTAAAAATACAGTTGGAAAAAATGGTGAGTAAATAGGGTGGAATGGGGAAGACTTGGGGTGTGAGCATGAGAAATTTGTACTTTTAGAATAATGCAGGAAATTTAAAGAAGCAAATGCTAACAGTGCCCATCTAAGCACTGCCCATGGGGGAGCAAACCTTGGCTAGTGGCTTGAGTCATCCTGGGCTGGTTTGGCAAGGCCTTGGGTTTCATGCCTCAGGAAGGGCAAGAGTTCTACATTAGAGGTCGCTGGTTACTGTGTGAGGCTATTTAAACAAAGCATGACACCTGGCTCGAGATATTCTAGCTGACATAGTATTGTTATTAGTTCCTGGAGTTAGCCATTATTCCTTCTTCTTCATCATCAGAATCTTCAGTCTAACACGTCAAACTGAGCTCTATCTCCCTGCAGAACTTTCTGTTTTTACCTTGTCAGCGATGGAAGAAGCCTGGAAGTCATCCTCAGACTCAGTCACTCGAACCCCATCAGACTGATCTTCAAGGAGCTTCTGTTGCTGACACTCCCTCTCCACTGCACTCCCCACACATTCCCCTGCCCTGGCCTCGGGTCCTCTGTCAGATGATCTGCCACACACCAGGCAGAGCGACCTTTGAAATTTGCAGATCTGAGTAACCATCATTCGTGACAAAGTCTGTTATGAGACCCCCCCCTTTCCCCCGCCAACATCTATTTGTGAGCCAGTGCTCCTTACCTCTTAAAACATGTTGGTAACTGGACAACAGAAACTGCAGATGCTCAACCAGCTCATCCCAAGTCTGCCACTGGGTTTGATCTGACTGCAGAGATAGGGAAATCAAGGATAACCAATACCTTTTGCAGTTCAAGTTTTAGTACAGTTTTCAAGTCCCAAAATGCTCAAGCAGTAGGATCAGAGAAAAGTTTCCCTGGCCTGGAACTGAAGTAGGAAAAAACATACCTGACACTTGAGCAGTGATGTGGAATTGTTCAAGAAGTAGAGAGCCTGGGCCAGAGACAAGGGCAGGCGGGTGGGCGTCTCACAGCTGTGGAGGAAGATGATCTCTAACACCTTGCAGCGCAGAAGGTGGCTTTCCATAGTGGTAAAGAACATCTCTCTGTGTGAAGAGGAAGAGGGAGTTAGCTATCACCAGTATTTTTCAAAGAAAATACACCACAATTCTCCCTGAATTTCTAACATTTTGCTCTAAAAAACAACAGCTAAGAAGGAATACAATGGAGGCCTATAAAATCACACCTGTGGACAGGATAGAAATGGATTTGTTCATGAAATAACTACCAAGAGGAGGGAAAAGTTTTTGCATTTGAAGAAAAGCTTTGGGCACCTTAAGAGGAATTATGTAACAATGTAACTATGAGAATTAATTATGAAAATAAGTAGTTTTGAATACCCATAATGTACCAGACACTGTTTGGCACAAAAGGTATATTAAAGTATCTCTTTCAAAAAGCTGACATGAACAGAGGCAAGAGGTATGCCGTGGACCATGTGTAACAGATACATGAGGTGCTATGGTGCTCCAGAGAAACACAGAAGAGAGCACTTGGTTGGGGACTGGAAGCATTTCTGGAGGAGGAGGCACTGAAAGCATTTCTGGAGGAGGAGGCACTGAAAGCAGTGGTTTAGGAGGAGGAAAGAAGGCTCAAGGCAGAGGCATTTCAATGGAGAAAAAAATTCAACAACAGTAAAGCAGAGCATACAACTACACACTGGAGCTTCTTAGATTTCAGAAGCTGGAACTGAGTCTCAGAGGGACTCTTGTCCTTGATTTTGTCACTCTACTCAGTGACTTCCATAGCACAGGTACGCTAGGGGCACTGTCAGAAGCTTCTGAGGAGAGAGACAAAAAGCGCTGTGCTTCAGGAGAGCAGAATGCTCTCATTCTTCATAAAGCAGGTAGCTTCCCCAAAAGCTAGGAGTGTGACACAGGGTGTGTCTCTGGACTGCCTGGAGGTTCCTGGTTTGTTTGGTAGTCTTTCTCCAGTTTTGCATGTCAGGTCACATTCAGGGAGGCAGATAGGGAATGGCACGAAAGAACATCATGACTTGCTCAGTTGGCAAGCACCAGATCCCTCACCCCAGACCTGAGGGATCTTTCTCCTACAACATCCTGCCCCTCTGCACTTTTGCAGTAACTGGAAAAACAGTGGATTTTCTATGCCACCACCATTTATAAGAGTGATAAATAAATAAGCCAGATGTGGTACAAGTTTGTAGTCCCAGTTACTCTGGGGGGGCTGGGTGGAAAGATCACTTGAGCCCAGGAGTTTAGAGTAAGCCTTGCAACACAGTGGGATTTTGTCTCAAAAACAAAACAAAAAAGAATCTATTCATTTTTATTTTTTCCCTTACTTTTGTTTTTCCAACAGACACATATTTATATAAGACAAAGTATGAATATTTTTTACCTTTGCTTATTATTCAAAAGGTTTAAAGAATATAGAAATTTCACCTCATTTAAAAAATTCTTTCTTACTAAGAAAACCCTTTTCTGGAGAATTTCTTCTTTTATGCAAAAAACTTCAAATTATTACACTTGCAAGCTAGCCCTCAAATTTTTGGTCTATTACTCTCACAAGACAACTTTCCTGTTTAGTAACATTTTATTTCACACTGTATTTTTTTCTCTCCCAATTTTTTTGGTAGTACTGGGGTTTGAACTCAGGGTCTCATGCATGCTAGGCAAGTACTCGGTCACCATTTGAGTCACACCCCCAAACCTTTTTTGCTTTTAGTTTTCAGGTAGGGGCTCATGTTTTTGCCTGGTCCAGCCTGAATCCCACATAGCTGGGATCACAGGAGCATCCTTACTGACATGGGGTCTCGAGAATTTTTATGTCTGGGTTGGCCTCAAGCCACGATCTTCCTGATCACTACCTCTTGAATAGCTGAGATTACAGGTGTGACCACTGTGCTCAGCCTCTCTTCTAATTTTTAACCAGGGTTTAAATTTGTCCTGGTTTTATAATTCACAGATAGTAAACTCAGAGGTCTACAAAGAACAAAGTAATCTCGATGTATTGAAGACAGTAGGAACTGGATGTGGAATTGTTTATACTAAATCAAGTTCAAAATTTTAAAACAAGGTACAAAGGAAGGCCAACATCAAGATACATCCTTTACACAGTACATGGTATTTGACTTATCCTTCTAACATAAAGAATTATTCAGCCAGATTAAATACTCGAAATGACTATTTTCACACATTGGGCAAACTACAAAGAACTGCTTGAGAACCACCCTGACAACGCCTAGAGCCCAGTCTTGACAGCAGAGAGCTAATGAGCTACCAAGCAGGATAAAAGTGAACACTCTTTAGGGAGCTGGTGGGGGTAGGAGGGCAGAAATGACCCAAACATTGTATGCACATATGAATTAAAGAAATAGAAAAAAGCGAATACTCTTTAAAGAAAGACAACAAAATTCAGACTTCTAATGAAATAATGCCCACTATGTCCACCTTCAATAAAAATTACTACCCAAGGGAGAAAGGCTCCTTTAACTAGCAGTAGAATGTCCACAGAAACAGAGGTGACACACATATAGAAATTAGTAGACAAATACTTTAGAACAGCTATTATAAATTTGTTCAAGATTTTTTAAAACAAGCAAACAAAGATGTACATAATGAGTGACCACATGAAGATTCCCAACAAAGAGAGAAGCTATAAAAATGAATCACATAAACTGGGTGCTGGTGGCTCATGCCTGCAATCCCAGCTACTTGGGAGGCTGAGATTGGGAGGATGAAGGTTCGAGCCCAGCCCTGGAAAAAAGTTGAGGAGACCCCAATCTCCAAAATACCCAGAGCAAAATGGACTTGGAGGAGTGGCTCAAAGCCCTGAGTTCAAATCCACAAACCCAAGTCCCACAAAAAAAAAAAAGAAAAAAAAAGGAGCCACATAGAGAATAATAAACTATCTGGAATAAAAAGAAAAATCACAGAACAGGGCCAGCAGCAGTTGGGTCACTGCACAAGAAAAAAGATCAGGGTCCTGAGGACTGTCCACACTGCAACAGTGAAAAACAAAACCAAAATCAAAAAGACAAAGCAAAATCAGTAAGTAAAATCACATTGGAAAATGCCAGAATCATAATGATCTGTGGAACAGTGTCAAGCAGTATGACATACACTCTGATTCTCAGTAGAAGATGAGAAGCTGGGACAAAAAAAAAAAAAAAAAAGGCATGTATGGAAATATCACAACAAAACCACCTTGTACAAATAAATATACGTTAGTTTAAAAAGGGAAAGGCATGCTGTGTATTATACTCAAAGACATTACACAGGGAATAACAATGAGAAATCCCAGACCTTTTTTTCTCTCTCTCTGAAGCTGGCAATCCAACCCACCTTGAACATGCACTACACCACTCAGACTCTCCTTCAGCGCAGAATTTGTAATGACTTTTCATCAGACAATAAGCCACCAAAAAAATTTAACATATTAAAAACAAATAAAGAAAAAATACCTATCAATCTAGAATTCATTATGCAAAAACACCCTTCATAAATGAAAGTGAAATAAAAACTTTCAAGATAAACAAAAACCAAGGGAATTCAGTATCTGCCCTACAAAAACCATTCAAAGATGTGAGCTCTTTGGCTGGAAAAGAAGTGGTACCAAATGGAATCTGGATCTTTCAGAAAGAAGGGAAAGCATTAGGAATGGTAAATACAAAAAATACTGCTCCTCCACCTCAATTTACTTGAAAAAAAAAGAAAAAAAAACAAAACAAAACAACTAAATGTTTAGGGAGAAGTTAAATAACACATGGGCTATGAAATTCCTTTATGTTACAGAGCATAGCATTAATTCAAGGCAGACTATAGTAAGTTTAAGATGTATATCATAATTCTAAACACAACCATGAAATTTTTTTTTAGAAAAAGCATTTTTATGTCTTTTTAAAATTTTTATTAGCATATATTCATTGTACAGGGGGAGATTTGTTGTGACAATTCTGAATAGCCTTATATTGTCAAAAAAAGTGTTAAAGAAAAAAAAAGCATTCTTTGTCTTTTGGCAGTACTGGGGTTTTGTGGTTGCTAGACAGATGCACTACAGCTTGAGCCAAGCCTCCATCCTGAGAAAATGCATTTGATAAAATTCAATCCCCACTCATAATAAAAACTCTCAGAAAATTAGGAATAGAAGGGAACTTCACTTTAAGTTGTTAGTGAACATCTACCAAAAACCTTGTTGTCAGCATCAAGCTCACCATTAACTGATGGTGAGCTGATGCATTCATTAGTAAATGATTAATTGATGGACTGACGTTCTTCTCTTTAGACCATGAACAAAGCAAAGGTGTTTGCTCTTACCACTGCTAGTCAACACAGTACTACAAGTTCTAACCAGTGATGCAAAGCAAGAAAAGGAAATAAAAGATATACAGACTGGAAAGGCAAAGATTTTCAGCTAGCTAAAAAAGCAAATTCCAAGTATATATTATGTAAAATGAACATAATCGTTTTTTACTTTTTTTTTGGCGGGACTGGGGTTTGAACTCCGGGCCTCATGCTTGCTAGGCAGGTGCTCTATCACTTGAGGCCACTTGGCCAGTCCTGACTTTTTACTTTTGGATATTACAGAATTGTAGGAATACAATAGCACAAAGGATTTCTGTCTAACCTTAATCCCTTTCACCTGATTTCAAGTGTCAACATTTGCTACATCTTCTTTACCCTTCTCTGCCTCTTGTAGACACCATGCTTAATTTATCCCTACATACTTCTGAGTACAAGTCCTAAAAACAAGGACACTTTCTTGTATGACAAAGTACAACGATAAAAGTCAGGAAATTAATATACATAGGTTAGCATATTAGCCACAGACCTTGATACGATTCTCATTATTGTCCTAATAATGTAATTTCTGGCAACCTAAAATTACAGATCACAGGTTGCATTTAGTTATCTATTGTTTAAATGCTCCATAATCTGGACCAATTCTTCAACTTGTCTTCTGTGACACTGACATTTTTTAAAAGCACAGGTTTTTCTCCCCCATAGGATGTCTCTCATTGAAGATTTGTTACGTATTTCCTCATAAATATGTGACACATTTTTGGCAAAAATGTTGTTATTCTCAGTGCATCATATCAACAGGCACATGATCACAACTTGTCTTACTGTTGGTGTTGTGTTTGACTTCTTGATTTAGACAGTGTCTCCATTGTACTGTTATTTTCCTCTCTGTAATAAATGAGTACCTTGTAGGAATATACTTTCATAATACAAAACTACCTTGCTATACCATAGACTTTCACCATTTTAGCATTCATTCATGCCTGAATGCAATATTATTATGATGGTTGCAAGCAGTATTTTTTCCCTAACTCATTTCTTCTTACATTTTTGATTGGTATTCTACTGTAAGAAGGGTCCCTTCTCTTCCTTACTGTTGGTATTGGAAGCATGGATTTCCATTTTATTCAAAAGTTTGGAACTCTTCACTGTTAGCATCATTTTGAAGCTTCAGTTACCCCAGATTTGGCCAGTGGAAGTCCCTTTAGGCTGACTCATGTGTTGTCTGACACACTCTAAATATTTTCGAACACTTTCTTACTTCCTGACACAAAATGTTTCAGATTTATTTTGTACTTTCCCTTCTTCAGTTCTGGAATCAGTCATCTCTTTAGGGAATTCCTGCTCATTTTAGTGGAAACTGCACTTAGAAACAACAACATGGGTGTATGGGCTGGAGGAGTGATTCAAGTGGTAGAGCGTCTGCTCAGCAAGTATGAAGCTCTGAATTCAAACCCCAGTACTGCCAAAACAAAACAAAAAACCCAAAAAATCCAAAAAAACAAACAACATCAACAAAACCAACAAAAGATGTGGGTACGAGATGAGCATGCTGCAACTGAGGCTTCCATGCTCACTCACATGTAGAGGTAGGAAACAGATGATGAACACACACATAGTGCAGCTATGATGTAGATGAACATGTTCTCACACACCTACATCTGTATTGATTAGAAACCACAACTCATACTGATACCTACAATTCCGGTCCAGCACCACAAGGTTCCTTTTATCCTTTCCCCTTTTCGTATGTGTAACTCTCTTCCCTGACAGTGAGAACCTTCGCTCTCATTATTCATAATACCTTTATGTGCTAACCCCTAGAATACACATAAAATCATTTTTGAATTGTTAATTCATACTTCAGTGAAAATGAAACTAGTAACTAGAGTTCAGTATTTATTTACAATTTGCTTAGTCTTTAGCATGAGGGCATTTAGTCCAAATGCTGTGTTTTAAGATACTGGACAGAGATGGAGAATAGATTAGTGGTTGCTAGGACTTGGGAAGGATGGGTGGTTTGGGCTCTAAATAGGATGCATGAGACCTTTGTGGTGATGGAAGAGTGTGTATCTTTCTGTTTTTTTTTTTCTTGACAGTACTGAGGATTGAACTCAGGGCATCATGTTTGCCAGGCAAGTGCTCTGTCTCTTGCATTGCACCCTCAATCGTTTTTTGCTTTTAGTTGAGGGTCTTAACTATTGGCCAGGCCAGCCTCAGACTGCAAATCTCCTACTTCTGTCTGTCAAGTGGCTGGGACCACAGATGTGCACCACTATGCCTGGCTTGTTTTTGAAGTAGGGTCTTTCCACCTCCTAAACAGCTGGACTTACAGGTTCGTACTACCAACCCCAGCCATTTCTGTATCTTGAAGGCAGTGTTGGGTTATATACATCTACATGTGATAAAACTGCACAGAGCTATACATACATGAATACATGTAAAATGGATGGAATCCGAATAGTTTTACATTGTACGGATGTTAATTTCCTATTTGTGACATTGTACTATAGCTATATAACATGCAATCACCAGGGAAAAAACAGGATAAAGGGTAAAGAATATCTCTTTCTAATACTTTTTGTAGCTTCCTACAAATCTATAATTATCTAAAAATAAAGAGTTTAAGGGCTGGATTTGTGGTTCAAGTGGTAGAGTGCCTGCCTCAGAAGCACGAAGCCCTGAGTTCAACCCACAGAACCACCAAAAAAAAAAAAAAAAAAAAGTATAAAAAAGTTATTTGGGCTTGTTACTTTCCCTCCCTATTATTGTATTAATATAAAATATAGTTAATTTGTTTATATTCTATTTTAAGCACTCCTGAACTTCCTCGATTTCTTCTTTTTTGAGTATATAAAACATTAATATGGTTCCAAGAAGTTTAAAAAAAATTTTTTTTTTTTTGGCAGTACTGAGGTTTGAACTCAGGGACTCACACTTGCTAGGCAGGCACTTTAACACTTGAGCCACTTCACCAGTAAGTTTTTAACTGTATAAGAAAGCAAACTCAGGAAAGTATCTACCACCACCGTCACCACTGCCATATTGCCATCCCAGTCCAGTACCTTTTGTTTGCCCCATTCTCACCCACCCAAGGGTATGTTAGTCTGTGATTTATCTTTCTTTCCACAAGTGATCAGGGTCATGTATATATTTAGATTTCTCCTTTCTTAGAAAAAGATGTATTACACATGCTCTTACATAGTACAGACTTCTGTTTTTTTTTCTTCACAATATTATTTTGGAAATCAGTTAATAGAAGTTTTCCTCTTACTGATTTTTATTTTTTTGTTCCTTTACTTTTGAGGCAGGGTCTCACTATATAGCCTAGGCTACCTGAATGGGAGCTCCTCCTGCATCTGCTCCTGTGTGCAGAGATTACTGGCAAGAGCCACCATGCCTTGCTTGCTTATTACTGTCTTTTCCTAACTGTGTAATACGGCATCATATAAATACACAACTACATTTACATAGAATAGGTTAGGTATACATAACACCACATGTAGCTTTCCAACTACGTATGTCCTATGTAGGGCCTTTTGGTTATTTCCAATATTTTGCGAATACAAAGTGAATATCCTTGTGCACATGTGTTTTGTATTATTAGAAGTATGTCTTCAGGGTGAATTCTAAAGTGAGATTGCTGGGTCAAGAGGTAAATGGAGGACAGGAAGTGTGGCTCAACTGGTAGAGCACATGCCTAGCAAGTGCAAAGTCCTGAGTTCAAACTCCAGTACTGCCAAAAAAAAAAAAAAAAAAAGGTAAATGCAGCCAGGCATGATGGGACATGCCTGTAATTCCAGTATTTGGAAGGTAGAGGCACAAAAATTTAAACTTTGACACTAGCTTGGGCTACATACTGAAATTCTGTCTCAAAGAAACAAAGAAATAAATGCACATTTAGTTCTGTTAGGTATTGTAAATTCCCCTTTATAGGCTCACACTGTTTTTGCATCTCCATCAGCAATGAATGAGTACCTGCTTTCTCACAGCCTCACCAACACAGCATGTCATTATTCCTTAAAGTCTTTATGATTCAAATAGGCGAGAAATGGGATCTCAGTGTGGTTTTAATTTATTTTTCTTTAACTATGAGTGAAGTTGAACATTACAGGAAAATAAAATCACAGATCATTACCCTTTATAAACATAGATACAAAACATTAACAAAATATTAGCAACTTGAATCCATTCATATACAGAAAGGATAACATGCAAACCTTTTATTCCAGGAATGCAAGTTTAGTTACGTTTAAAAAATTAACCAGTGTAATTCCCCACATCAACATAAGAATAAAGAATAAAAATTATGATTATCTCAATAGATTCAGAAAATTTATTTATTTATTTATTTTTAGAAAATATATTTAGAAAATCTATTTATTCTTCAGAAAAACACTCAGCAAAACTAGAAATGGAAAGAATCTTCCTCAAGCTGATGAACAGCACCAATTAAACACCTGCAGTTCACCTCACATTTAATGGTCAAAGACTGAATGATTTCCCCTAAGATCAGAATAAGCCAAGGATGTCTGTTCTTACCACTTCTTCAACATTCTACTGGCAGTATTAGCCCATGTCATCAGGAAAGAAAAAGAGGCAAAAGGCACACAGATTGGAAAGGAAGGTGCTAAACTCTTTATTTGCAGACATCATTGTAGAAAATCCTAAGAAAACTACAAAGAAATCAAAGTAGAATAGATGAATTTATTAAGAATGCAAGATTTTTTATGTATTACCAATAAACCATTGGAAAAGGATATGGCTATAGAAGGGAAATTTAGGCTTCATTTAGGGTGTTCTGCCTTTTCTCAAGAAATTATACATTAGCTGTATATAATAACAATTAGTTAAGAATCTCCTTCTTTCAAATGGTCAAAGAGATAAGCAATCCATCTACCCTTTTCTTTCTTTTTTCAATTACAGGTTGGGGTTTTCTCTTTTGAAATTCTGTTTCTTGCAGGCAGGATACATGGAAAAGTTAATTTACAAAAAATCACTTCCTGTAAATATTTAGTTCTCTTTTTTAAAGAATCAACAACAAAGCTAGACTCACCTCTGACTCCTTTCAGGGATGTCCAGCACAAATCCAAACATCATCTCAGCAATTTTATTGGAGCTGCAGGTGGGAGTCCTGTCAACCTCGACAGCTATGGACAACATCCTCTGAAGCTGACACACAATCCTGAGTCCAGAACACAGCACACAGTGAGTGGAAGGACCTGGCAAGAGGCCACCTGGGACTGAGAAGAGGTCCCCACCACTGTACACAGAGAATAAAGACTATAAAAGGATCTTGTAAAGCACGTACTAGGTCAGGGAGAACTACTCAAGTCATCAGCATGCTTTAATTGAACAGTTTTACCTACCTGGATCCCTTTTGCCAGATCATACTATCTGAACCTCTCAGAACCTGGAGGTGAGCTATAAAAGCAAGCTGCCTTTAAATTTAAAAATAGAACCATATAATCATAGGGTCTAGAGAACTTTAAGGACTATCTACTCTATAATTTCCCTATTATATAAATGAAGAAGCGGTCCAAAGTAACTAATATTATTTGAATTTCTTTGATAAGGAGAATAATAATTTTCTCCTATCATGAGTGCCTTTACAATGCAGTAGTTTCTTACTTTATTCAGTCTCAGAACGTCCACTGGTGGAACCTGATCTTCTCTCCCATCAGATCTGACTGTGGGAGAGAGTAAGCCTGACGTGCATTAGAAATCTGGGTAAGGCTTCAAAAGGGGAAGACTGGCCCAATGCCAGCCTTTTTATGTATTATTTGTGATGGAAGAAAAGGCTTTGTTTTCAGAAAATGTGTTGCCAGTGAAACAATAGATGGACAAAGGGCTTTGGCATCAGATTCTGGCTTTACAATGACAAATCAACAAGTTACTAGACTGCTGAGTCCTTTTCTCATGTATTAGAAGGGGGAATACCATCTATTTCATAAAGTCAGATAGGCACTCAACTGGTAAATAGCAGCACCTGTAAGTACTGTTGGTAAGATCACAATACAATTTACTTATAGGGGGCCATGTTGTTATTTCTATGAATATTTAAACAAATTTATGATTATTATTATATGAAACTAGAAACTGCATCTGCCTCCCTCTTGGGTCTGTATGTGGTACTCCTGGGATAAACCCACTTTATAGAGTGTTCCGCAATATGCTCAAACAAATAAACCACTATTCTAAAATAGCCCACCTTTACAAACAAGATTATCTCCTAAATTAGTTCTGTAAGCCTAATATGAAAATCAAGTTGATCCAACTACATTATAAAACAGCACTGTAAAGTTAGGCACAAATGTGACTGGCTTTCACTAATGATTGACATGGGACCCTGTATTCTTGTGGAAGGATACTCTAGCCTCTAAATCCTAATATCTTTCAAAGAATGCTATGACCACACTCTCTTTCTCTCTTTTTTTTTTTGCATCACTGGGGTTTGAACTCAGGGCCTATACCTTGAGTCACTCCACCAGTTCTTTTTTTGTGATAGGTTTTTTCAAGATAAGGTCTTGTGAACTATCCGTCCAGGTTGGCTTTGAACCATGATTCTCCTGATCTCTGCCTCCTGAGTAGCCAGGATTACAGGCATGAGCCACTGGTGCCTGGCCCAAGACCACTCTCAACTCCATAAAAGAACTGCCATGAATCTCTTTCCATTCCAGTCTGAGATAATGGGACCTGCCGTGGTCTGCCCCATTTTTGTTATACCTGCAGGTTGAACTGACTATTTTTCTCCCAGAAATAAGGCAGTAAACACAAGTCCCCAAGGACTAGAGGTAAAGACTCTCTGTTAGTGGATACCTGAAGTGAAGAGTAGCTATATCCCTTTACTGTCTCTTGGAACCCAGGAATGTGAGGATAGGGTCTTCTGGCTTTTGTTTAATTTCTGCTTTGTGCATCTGTATTTGCTTTGTGAAGTCTTATTTATCTAGGGGTGAAAGAATCTGCTTTTGTTTTACCTTTGGAGTTAGAAATTTAGCCTGTTAAAATTTTATTTATTCAAAAAAAATTTTAGAATTAGAAATTTAGCTTTTCAACTAAGTCTTTAAAAAAAAAAATAAATATATTTATTCTGGTTCTGGGGATTGAACCCAGGGCCTTGTGCATGCAAGGCAAGCACTCTATTAAACTAAGTCTTTAAAAAGAATCACTCTGTGTTACAGAGCTTGTTCATTGTGAGGAAGCTGCTCTCCAGGACTTGTACTCTTCTCTGAAAAACTAAATCCCAGTACTCTGGGAAAGACAGTTTGGCTTGCTCCTTACAGCTGACTGGTGTTCTTGTTCAGGTTAGACTGTGGAGGAGAGCGGCTACTGCTGAATGTCAAGATTCCTGCTCCTGAGGAGGTCTGACTGCCATTTGGGAGCGAGGTCAATCCATCATCAGTTATTGCTTTGACCAGCCACTTGATAACATCTCTGTAGTGGAAAGAAGTAAGAAAGAAAAAGTTTAAACTTCTGTTGTATTTGTGGTACACAGGACTGTATCCTTAACCTGGACTCTCTGACCCCTAGATTTCCTCAAAGGCAGCAATGGGAGCCTTTCAGGCTCTTTCTAATATTTAAGCACATCTAATGAATATGCCATATTTAATTGCAGCCTGGCTTTAAAAGCTAACTAAAATATTAACAGTTTTCTTTGAGTTATAATTACTGCTTAGCATCTCTGGGACCCAAAAGCACTGTGACTTCCTGACCAGGTGGAAAGTTTGAGCAGATGACTATTGCCAAGTGTCACATATTAACACTAATACCTAAGGTTTAGAGAATGAGCAGTGGAGCCATACTAATACAGGGCGCAGGCTCTACAAGTCAGTCAGGGAAAGACAGCTCACGTAGTCCACATTATTGTGATGAATACTTAGATAGCAAGATAAAAAAGGGCGGATTGAAAACATACACCCAATTTGTTCCCTTTTCCAGCCCCAATACTTCGGTAAGTGTCCCCAAGGAAGAGGAGAGTAGACGACAGTGCAATTTTGAAAGGAAGATGGCAAATGAAAGACACTCACTCCTATACACTATTACATACCAGTAAAAATGAATGGCTACAGTAAGAGATAAAGAACAATATGGACAAATTTATACTCTAAAACAAGCAAAAATACAAGTTTCAATAGATTAAATAAAGCATGATGCCTTTTAATATAAAGCTAAAATGAACTAAAAATACACACTTTATGGAAGGAACACACACGTATGCTATAAAACTGCACAGGAAAGAAAGAGATGAAATGAACACTCAGGATGATGACTACTTCAGGTTCAGGGAGGTGTAAGGTGGGTGATAGGGTTTTATATGTGGTGTAGATATAGGTAATTATCAAGGTCCTACTGTTTTGATTTGGAGGCAGGTTAAGAAATGCTGACTACAAAATTAAAGGTAATTAATTAACTAAGCAAATAAGGCAAGTGTGTCATGTTTTAAGGATGATGTTTAATCCAAGTCTGTGACGTTGGGAAAAAAATAGATTGTAATTGACTTAGCAGACTGAGAAAGGTTAAACCCTAAGCAAGCAGCAGAAGAACAATTCTATTTAATTCTAGCTACCAAAAAAAGAAAGGAAGGAAAAAAGAAAGACAGAAAGAAAAGAGTAACAACATTAGATTTCTCTGAAGTGAGAGTGAAAGGGGGTAAGTTAAAATAAGTAGTAGGAGGGTGACCTAACCAATGTACATTGTAAGGCTATTCGGAATTGTAACAATGAATCCTCTCTGAACAATAAATATATCCTAATAAAAATGAAAAAAAAAGAACAATACAGGCTTTCTGTTTATAAACAGACCAAATTAAAAATTAACAATGAAAACAAACAAAAACAAGCCAGGCGCCAGTGGCTCATGCCTGTAATTCTAGCTACGCAGGAGGCAGAGATCAGGAGGATTGAGGTTCAAAGCTCGCACAGGCTACCTCAAAAAAAGTCATCACAAAAACAGGGCTGGTGGAGTGGCTCAAAGTGTAGGTTCTGAGTTCAAACCCTGGCACTGAAATAAATAATTAAATAAATAAATTTAAAACAGAACAAAACAAAAAGAGCCTACAGCAGGAGGATAAAGAGTTCCAGGACAACCTGGGTTACATAGCAAAACCCTGTTTCAAAAAATAAAAATAAAAATAACTAAATAAAGAGGTAGATAGAACATGCGAAATAAAATAGCCTCACTAGGACAGCTTGAAAGCTCCTTAAGAAATTTCTAGAGCCCTAGATCTTCTTCCCCAGTCCTGTAGACTGAAGGTCTCCTTTACAAAAAAGTGACACAGAGGGCCTCCAGCCTGGGATACCAGCGGCATTGTGGAGCAGAGGCACTGAAGCACTAAATGAACACAGGCATTGTGAAAGCAGAGCCCCGGCTCATTGTCCAAACCTGTTTTCCAAAACGTGTTTCTCTTTTATGTAGGAGATTGGAAATTTTCTTTGGTAAATCCAACCAGCCCAAGAAGAAAGATCTGAAGACTCTGTGGGAGATTTTCTGAAATGAGAAACTAGTTCCACCTATAGGGAGGTGCAGAAATAACAAGTCCTTCCATGTCTTCAGAGCTTCCATCATTTGAGTCTCTTACCTTTTTTTTTTTCTGAGGCACTGAGGTTTGAACGTAGGGCCTCATGCTTGCTAGGCAGGCACTCTATCACTTGAGCCACTCTGCCAGCCCTTTTTAGTGTTGTGTTTTTTCAAGACAGGGTCTTGGGAACTATTTTCCTGGGCTGGCTTCAAACCATAATCCTCCTGATCTCTGTCTCCTGAGTAGCTAGGATTACAGGTGTGAGCCACTGGTGACTGGTTAAGTCTCTTACCTTTAAATATGGTTATATTACCAAGGTTTACCAGACATCTGGAAAGCTTCTAACATAAGAGACAGAGACCAAAATAGTCAAACCCAAAACAACATCCCCCACCCCAAAGGCAACTAACTTGGAGAAAGTGGATGTTATATACAGAATCGGAGGAAAAAGCAAAACCAAAAATCTAAATCTATCATTAATATCATGGAAGATATGAGATGGGCCCAAGAAAGAACAGAATACTATTTGCTATTTTTAGCAAGGAACAGGAAGAGAGAGAGACACATACACACACAGAGATAGAGAAAGGCGGTGGGGGTGGGGGTAGGGAGAGGGTGGGAGGGACAGGGAGAGAGAGAGGAGGAGGAGGAGGGGGAGGTAGAGTGGGAGGAAGAGGAGGAGGAAAAGGAGGAAGAAAAGGAGGAAGAAGAAGAACCAACTCTATACTTGTTTTCCAGAAACGAAGGATTATTTTTCATACTGAAATGACCCACTGAATACTGAACATCATGGATGAATACAGACCTACAGCACGCAAAAAGGCCAAAAGAGGAAAAAAGTCAGGACATATACAAAGAATCAGTAATCAAAATAGTTTGACTTTATTTATTTATTTTTTTGTAGTACTAGGAATGAATGCAAGGTCTGCCACTTAAGCCATGCCTAGATTCCTTTTGTCTTTACATTTATTTTCGAGATAGGGTTTCATTAACTTTGGGCTGGCCTTGAACTCATGACTCTCCTGCGTCTGCCTCCTGAGTAGTGTCACCGCAATCGGGTGATTAAAGATCTGTAGAAAAGTTATGTTTAAACTAAATGTCTGGGCTGGTGGAGGGACTCAAGTGGTAGAAGGCCTTCGTAGCAAGCGTGACATCCTTAGTTCAAACCCCAGTACCGCCAAAAAACAAATACTAACTAAATATCTATGTTCAGTCTACTTAACAGCAATATGTGAGAAGAAGGTATTTTAGAGATATAAGATCTCAAAAACTTTACTTCCCATGTAACTTTTTTTAGGAAGGTACTAGAAACTGATCCATCAAAACAAGGGAATAAGCCAGGTGTGGTGATGCACACCTGTAATTCCAGATACTTGGGAGGCTGAGGCAGAAGGATTGTTTGTTTGCGTCCAGGAATTTGAAGCCAGTACGGGCAACACAGCAAGACCCCATCTAAAAAACAAACAAGGGAGTAAGCCAGGAAAGAAAAAGACATGGGACAAACAAGTAAACCAACAGAGATCCAATGTTGGAAAGAGGTAAATGGATGCTGAAATTTATCATGCATATTGCAAAGAGGACAATCAATCCAATATTTTGAAGAGGTCAAAATATTTCATCTCAGATCTTCAAGAAGAAATTAATTAGGCCTTCCACTGTGAATAAACATCTTGAGGATAGACTGACCAACTAACAGAGAATTGGAGGTTGTCTTCTACTAAGAAAAGAAAAAAACTAAAACAAAGACAATCAGATATCAATGAAAGTAAAAGCAGTCACAGTACACTGCTATCCTCTGACTAGCTATATAGTTGTTGTTATGGTTTGGATGTGAAATGTTCTCCCCAGGTTCATGGGTGAATGCTTGGCCTCCAGCTGACTGTGATTTTGGGAGATGGTGGAAACTTCAGAAGGTGATGAGGCCTAGCTGGAGGAAGTATGCCTTTGGAGGTAACCTGGTCCTCCCTCTCTGCTTCCTGCCCACCATGAAGTTGAAGAACTTCCTGCACCTGTCTCCCCTACTCCATCATGTTGTTCCGAACAAGCACACAGGGCCAAGCAACCAATGACTGAAATTCTGAAACTGTCAGACTTAAATTGTTTCTGTCAGGCATGTTACAGCAACTGAAAAACTAACTAAAACAATCACAGTAATAGATACTTCGAATACTGATTTAAACAAAATTATGATATCATTATACTACTTGTACTGGGTAGTACATACATAAATATGTATATATGTGTTAGAAGTAAGGTGGAAAGGAAAAAGAGCTAACTCCTCATCTTTTCTTTAATTTTATTTTATTGTTTTTACATTTACTTACCTGTGTATACATTATTTGGGCCACGTCCCCCTCACCCTCCTAATCTTTTTTTATCAATTATTGATAATGGCCAACAATGAAAATTCAAGTGGCAAGACAAGCATGTTATTTAGTCACATGGAGGTAAATACCAAAATCAAAATATAAAAAAGATCAAGTCAAAGAGTTGGTAAAGGGAAGTGCAGGTGAGGTTACTGTGTTTCTTAACTTTTAAGAACTAGTTTACTTTAATCTTTTTTTTTTTTTTGTGGGATTAGGATTTGAACGCAGGGCCTTGCTCTTGCTAGAGAGGTGCTCTACCATTTGAGCCACACTTCCAGCCCTAGTTTACTCTTTGTATGCAGTTAAAAAAAAAAAAGAAAGAAAAGAAAATCTCTTAAAAGGGAGTCATATGGAGACTTCTCCCTCTTTTCTTCTCTCAGAATTCCTCTTTGAGGAATTTTACATACAATAAATTGTGTAGACTCTATTTGATGAGTTTAGATAAATATATGCATACATCTGTGTAATCACCACCTCAATGTAATACTAATGTCTTAATGAATCAAATAATTTCCATTCCAGCTGGAACAACCCATTTCTTTTTTTACTGTATAAGCATGAAACAGAAGACTTGACTGGTATTTAGAGGCCATTAATATTCTCCCCAAATGCCTTAGAAGGAAACTAAGAACTTGAATATGGGTGACAGCCTCTATACAAGAATGAATACAGAAATCTTAAAGAGGCTGAAACCACCATTAGAAAGGGACTAAGGTAGAATGTAGATAATTAGAGATGAACCAACTGGGAGTACAACACATATATGCATGGAAATACTACAAGGAAATGCCCTGCATAGCTACCTTTATCTCAAACTAGCAAATATGTCATGTTTTTCTTTTTATCTTTTCTCTTCTGCAAAATCGGAAAACAGGAGAGTGGAACAGGCTGAGAGGGAGGGTTGGCACCAGTGGGAGGGGGGAGGTGGTGGGGAAAGAGGGTAGGAGAGTGAATATGGTGCAAAAAATGGGTACATGTGCATGTAAATGGAAAAATGATACTTGTTGAAACTGTTCCATGAATTGGGTGAGGAGGGGATAAAGGGTAGTGGTAGAAGGGGTGAATTCAAGTATGATATAGTTGGTACATTGTAAGAACCTTTGTAAATGCTACAAAGGTACCCCCATCCAGCACAACAATAAAGGGAAAAAAAAAAATGCAAGAATTACACTCCACGCAGGGAGAAGCTCACACCACAAGAAGTTGTGGCTCATACCACAACCATGAGAATAGGTCATTTTGTGACTCTGCTTCCCACTAAGGCCAATGCCTACATTCACAAAGTTTAATGGTAGACATAGTTATTCTCATTATTTAAATTATTTTTATTTTTCACCCAACTATACTGTCTTAAGCTTTTTGTAGATTCTTTACATTCTTTTTTTTGTGGTACTGAACTCAAGGCCTCACACTTGCTAGGAAGGTGTTCTACCACTTGAGCCACTCCACCAACCCAATTCTATACATTCTGATTTTCTATCCCTACAATTGTTAACATTTAAATGTTGCATAAAATGCCACAAACAGGCATGCAAATTAAGGGGGGAAAGTGAACAATGCCCAAAACAGTAAGAAACTTTCTTATTAGAGAAGTTATAATGTTCAATATCCCATGTTTACCACTGAAAACGATTCTCAACAAATCTGTAAGAACATGTGGATATAAAGATGAGTAGTAGTTTTGATGTGCCAAAACATAGGGATGCTACCACACTTTCCTAGTGAGAACCATTTCCGAAAAAGCAAGGGATAAAGTTCCAGGAGGAAAGTTTCAGCCTTAGAGCCCTGCCCTGGAAATCACATTTCCCCCTTTGCATAAGTACACAGTAATTTCACATTCTGAAGCTCCCAGGAGCTTTGATCCTGATTCTAAAAAAAAAAAAAGAAAAATTAAACAAAGAATACAAGCTTGCTAACCATTGTCAGATGATTTGATTCTGATTCTAAAAAACAAACAAGCAAAGAATACAAGCTTGTTACCCATTGTCAGATACATGATGTTGTCCTATTACTTTTCCGAAACTAGGAATTATAAATGAGATTAATGTTGAGTTCATCAGGGAGATGGTCACAATATAAGTTGGAAAGTTTATACACATGAAGGTTTGTCTCTGCATCTCACAAGGTTGTTTGGACAATACAGTCAGTGAAAGTCTTATGGTCTGGAGAGAAAAACTACTTGAGCTATAGTGCCTGTCATGTTGGCAGGATTTCTTTATGATTCTACACAGTTTTAATAATTATCTTTGTCACAGTATCTGGTGATGAGAAAATCTCATCCACCTGATAGTTAGTGGCTGTGATGGTTAGTTTTGAATGCCAATTTGATTGGATTAAGAAATACCTAAGAGATTAGTAAAGCATTTCCAGAGATGATTAGAGCATGAGAACTCTGACCTCATGAATGAATGGCTTAATCCATTGATGGATTCAAAAGTTGAGCAGCCTTTTGGGAGGTGGCAGACCTGTGGCAGGCAGGGCCTGGTTGGAGGAAGTAGGTCACTGGGAACATGTCCTTGGGTAATATCTTGCCTTAGCTCTTTACTATAACTGCTCTACTCTGCTTCCTGTTTCCATGAATTGAACAGTTCTGCTAATACCACATCCTCCTTACCATCATGGACTGGAACTTCTGAAACCATGAGCTAAAAATCCTTTCCTTCCAAAAGTTGTCTTTCTTAGGTATTTAGTCACATAGACAAGAAACTGACTAATACACTGCCCACTTCAGCCCCTACTCCTGTCATCCAGGGCTCCTCTGGTGCTCATTACCTGATATTGTGCGGCTGCTTGTCACAGGACAGCACAGTGTTTGCAATGGACTGCTGCAGGTGATGTCGTTGCTTCCTCAGGATCTGTTGAAAGTCGTCTTCCAGGGTCTGCACTACATAACGCAGAAAAAGGACTCGCCCAGGCAGAGTTTGACCCTGTAGGAGAAAGAATGAGAAGCCTTTCTCCTCAGTCTCCAGGTTAATGATAACACCAGGTCCAAGAGAAGGTCAGCAAATTTGTCTGAACCTAAAAGAGAGGCTTCTCGGAGAGTGCAGGTAGTCTAGGTCAGAGTAAAAGATAAAGAGTCACACTCAATAAGGTTTTTAGAGACTCAGGTTGTGAGATTAAATTTACTTGTAACTTTTTTTATGTGGTACTGGAGTTTGAACTCAGGGCTCAAGCTTGCTAGACAGGTGCTCTACCACTTGAGCCATACCTCTAGCCCGTATATTTAACTATTTAAGAAATTGGAAAACTTTTCTAAAATGCTTACACCATTTACATTTCCACCAGCAATGTATGATACTTACCATTTCACATAAGAATGTCTCCACATTCTTGCCAATGTTTATTATGTTTTCTTTTCTCATAATTAAAAAAATTGTGATAAAATACATTAAACTCCTATCTTAACCATTTTAAATGCACAATTCAATATCATCATGTCTTGAATATGAAATGTGTTTAAGCCTTGGTCTCCAGCTGGTGGTGTTATTTTGGGAGGTTGTGGAAACCTAAGGAGGTGGGGCCTACAGAGGAAGGTAGGTCATTGGGGGCGTGCCTCTCTGAAGGGCATATTTTCTGCCTCACCCATTCCTCTGTTTCCCCTACTTCCTGACTGTCATGAGATGAGCAACTTTGCTCTGCCCTGCCCTTTTGCCATGATGTTCTGCCTCGATATACTCAGAAACAATGGAGCCAGCTGACCATGGAGTAGTTGAAACCTCTGAACCATGAGCCAAAATAAAATTTTCCTTTCTTAAATTGTTTCTCTCAGGTATCTGTCACAACAACAGAAACTCTGACTAACATAAGTAGTATTCAGATAATTCACATAGTCCTGTGAAAGACTCCAAAGTTTTATAGCCACTGAACAGCAACTTCTCTTTCCTTATTCCCCCCAGCCTCTGGGAACCACAATTCTATTTTCTGTTTGTATGAATTTAACTGCTTTTGATACCTCATTTAAATAGACTCACATAATATTTGCCTTTTATTGACTGGCATTTATATAAATGTAATTTTTTTGGCAGTACTGAGGGTTGAACTTAGGGCCTCACATTTGCTAGGCAGGCACTACACCACTTGAGCTACTCTACCAGGCCTTTTTTGTGTTGGGTATTTTTGAGATAGGATCTCATGAGCTATTTGCTAGGGCTGCCCTTGAACTGAGATCCTCCTGATCTCTGCCTCCTGAGTAGGTAGGATTACAGGTGTGTGCCCCTGGTGCCTGGCCTTGACTGGCATATTTCTCTTAGCATAGTGTCCAAAAGTTTCATTCACTCTGTAGCATATAACAAGATTTCCTTCCTTTTTAAAACAGACATATCCCACTGTACCACATGTTTATCCATTTGGGTTGCTTCTTTCTCTGGCTATTGTTAAGCATGCTGCTGTGAACATGTGTAGTAAATACCTTTTGACAACTTACAAATCTCTTCAGTTTGTTTTCATATATACCCAGACAGAGGATTCCTGGATCATACAGTAATTCTATTTTTTGAGGAACTGCCATGCTGCTTTTCCATAGTAGTGGCATCATTTTACAATTCTCCAAAAGTACACAAGGTTCCATTTTCTCCATATTCTTGCTAAACCCATTTTTTCTGTTTTTTTTTTTAATTATTTGTGAGCCAGGCACTGGTGGCTGAGCATGATAGTAAATGCCTGTAATCTCAGCTACTCAGGAATCAGAAATCAGGAGGATTGAAATTGAAGGTCAGCAGGGCAAAAAGTTGGTATATACCTATAACCCTAGCTCCATGGGAGGCATAGGTAGGAGGAGGATAGTCTGAAGCTGTCTATAAGCAAAAGTGAGACCCTATCTGAGAAACAAAACAAAAACCAACTAAAGCAAAAAAGGGCTGGTGGAGTGGCTCAAGTGGTAGAGCTCCTGCCTAGCCAAGTATAAGACCTTGAGTTCAACCCCAAGTACTACCAAAACAAAACACAAATTTTTTAATAGCAGCCAATCTAATAGGTAGAGTGTTAGTCAGATTTTTTCATTGCTATGACAAATACGTAAAAGAAACAATTTCAAGCAGGACAGATTTATTTCGGCTCATACTTTCAGAGGTTTCCTTTCATGGTTGGCTGGTTCCACTGCTTTCAGACTCTTAGCAAGGCAGAAACCTCATGCAGAAGGGTGTGGTGGTGTGGTGGAGCAGAGCTACCCACCTCATGGTGTCCACAAAGCAGAGAGAGGGGTCCAGGAACATGACCTCCAAAGGAATGGCCTTAGTGACCTAGCATTCTACCACCTGAGCTACATCCCTGGCCCTTTTGTTTTTTATTTTGTTTTTGAGATAGGGTCTTGTTAAGTTTGCCTGGGCTGGCCTCAAACTTGTAATCCTCCCATCTCTGCCTCCAGAATAGCTGGGATTATAGGCATGTACCACCATTCCTCACTTGGATTTTTTTTTCTTTTTTGAGACAATAATACCTTATTGGTCATGGGTTGGCCTGGACTCTGCAGCTACTCTGGTCTCTTAGAGTTCTCACAAAGGTATTCTGGCCTATACGTTGTTAACTCACTATCTCCTTTGGAGAACAAGGGTCTGGAGCTTTCTAGTGTGCCATCTTGCTGATGTCTCCCCACTCATTCCTACTTAAAGCCCTCTATAATCTATCTCACTCCAATCTGGACTCACTGCTGCCATCCATTGCAATTTTGGGACTTTTTTTTAAATACGCTTTTGGAATTGATCTAGTGTACCCTGGATTCCACGTCTCCCTCTTTGGGTATTCCCTTAGTTCTTAGATGTACACCAACAGGTGACCTGCTAAGAAATACAGTGTGGGAATACATTTTCACGTTCCTACATATCTGGAGATGTCTTTATTCCACCTCATACCTAACTTGTAGTCTGGCTTAATATAGAATCCTAAATTGAAAATCATTAGTTTTATCCAATCACTTTAGGGTGAGCAGACAGAAAGGTGGCAGTTCAACTTGGGTGGAGGGTTAGGGGCGGTGATCCCTAAAGTCAGAATGTGGTAATTTTTTTTCTGATCACCAACTCTACATTAGCTATTTTTATTTATTACAGATGGCTCAATGGTTTCTTTAGACAGTCTTTTGACTTTTTGCCTAAAGGGTAGATAACCTGGCTACTGAATTTTCTATGCTGAAGAATGGAGAGGTTGACTGACTTTCACCAGATATTCACTTTCAGCCTGTATCCAACTCATATCCTTTACTATGTATATACATTGTGCTTCTGAGTCCAAAACCTTCTGGACCTCTAATGGGAAGACTTCCTCCTTCATTGGTTGTGACCTCTTCCATTTTCACATTTTATTGATTAATTTTATTATTTTATTTCATCTCATCTCATTTTATTTTATGAGGTTCTGGGGTTTAAACTCTTGTGCTTGCTAGGCAGGTGCTTTACTGCTGGAGCCACCCCCCAACTCTTTCCGTGTGTATTCTGAGCCTGTGGCTTTCTCTGCCCAGCTTCAGCTTTATCTGTCCTCACTCCTATAGTTTCTTTTAGATCTTCCAAATCTTTGTTCACATCTATTGTCTTCCCTTACTTTCATAGCCAAGAATTTATAAATTTCTCCATTTATTCATCAGTATTTTTTTTTTTTTTTTTTTTGGCTACACTGGGGTTTGAACTCAGGGCCTCACACTTACTAGGATGGTGCTCCCTTGAGCCACTCCACTGGCCCTCTTTCATGATGGGTTTTTTCGAGATAGGGTCTCTCCAACTATTTCCCTGGGCTGGCCTCGAATCGAGATTCTCCTGATCTCTGCCTTCTGAGTTTCTAGGATTACAGGCATGAGCCACTGGCACCCAGCAGTCCACCAGTATTTTTATTTTTATTTATTTACTTTTTTTGGTGGTATGGGGATTAAGCCTAGGGCCTCCTGTCTGCTAGGCAAGTACTCTAGCACTGAAGTACTTCATTGGCCCTGTTACTAGTATTTTTAATGGGATCTCAAGGAGAGGGAAATGAATATATTCATATTTGAATTGGACTACAAGCACAGATCATTTAGTAATAATTTTTTTGGCAGGGTGTGACTATCAGGAGAGAATATTCAGTATACTGCCATTTTTCTTTATAGTTAAAACTTCCTGTGCAAAGGGACACACCTCCATGATTATTATGTTACCTCTTCCTCCATGACATAGGTGAGCAGCTTCCAGTCCCACTCCACTGCCTTGGCATTGGCTGGATGTAGCCTGAAAGTCAAGTGACATCAATTAGAATCCTGAAGAATTTAGTGAAGAAGGACTAGGATGTGGAAGATGATAGAAGGTAAAAGACACCTCTTCAGTGTTCTGGCCCACCCTCTAGGTACCATACCATGGCAATCTGAGGGTAGACCAACAAGCTTTACCTATAAGGACCCCAGGATGAAATGTAATTTGTTGAGGTAATCACAATATCCTATCCCCTCAATTTACAGTGGGCTCAAAAATGGGCTCACGTTTTATATGAAGTCAATTAGATCCTATTAGTCTCAACTTCAGAACTCTTGTGTTACTATAATGGAAATGAACTCTCCCACTTGAAGTGTCATAAAAGCTTATGGCTGAGGACTGCCATGTGGAACCCAAAAACAGAACAAAAGCAAAACTGAAAAACAGATCATGATAACCATTGCTGAACACAGACTCTTAGTCCTAGGTTTCCAGTAACATAAGTCACAAAATTCTCTTTTATCAGTGATTGAAGCTAGTTTTGACACTAATATATTAGGAAACCCTCCCTAACGGTTAGCTGAATAAACCTGGGGCAAGAGAAAGGTGGCTCTGGGTCCAGGTTCCCTAAAAGATTTTGCCAATGGCCAATTGTTATAGTTCATACTGTTGGATTTTCATAAGAAGCATGTAGGCCTCCTTGAGGACATCCACACTCTCAGAGCCACTGAGCAGGATTTTCTGGATGATGTGAGCCACAATATCTCTGGGTGGATAATGCTGGGGCGACACAAAGTCCATCAAAAACTGCACAGTCCCCAGGGGAAAGTTTTCTTCAATGGTGTTGGTCACCATTCTTAGTCTTCGGTGAGGGATGGGTTCTAATTTTTGACTCTTGCTCTGTAGAGATACAAAGAAAGAAATGAGGATCAGTTTTTATAGTATATAAAAGCAAGAGGTTCTGAAACAGGTTGAAGACAGCAAAGTTTTCCATTCATTTCAAATATTTTACAATTAAAAAAATTCGACAGACAAAAAAGCTTATTTTAAAATCTTTTAATGAGGGCTGGAGGCATGCCTCAAATAGTAAAGCATCTGCCTGCAAATGCAAAGCTCTGAGTTCAAAGCCAGTCCATGAAAAGAAACAAAACAAGAACCCTTTAATGACATGGGGAAGTTAAATAGTAAGAATTCTAAATTCTACATATGACATCATTTTATCTATGTTAAAATATAACAGAGAAAGGAAAATACAAGAGTCAAGTGCTAGCCTAAGCTGATTTTGGGGTGAAGATGACAAGAGATTTAGGGGTAGCTGTGATTGTATATCAGATACTGAAATAGAGAGAGATGATAAGACTTCAGTATGTTTCACGGGTAGGAGAAGACTCCTATTTTGTTGTTCTTTTGAGACAACAGTAAATATTAAGTTGGTTTTCCCTGCAAAAATTTGTACATAAACTGTGAGAGAATGTGTGAAGTATCCTCAGTGTTTGGGTGGTGGAATTAATTTAGTTTTTCCTTGCTAAGCTTTTCTGTATTTTTTCTACAATAGGCACTTATTAGTTTTATAATTAGAAGAAAAAGATTAAAAAGTTGGGTTGGTAAGAGAATATAACATTAGTGATAATTTTGTAGATTTCATTTATCCTCACTTAGTTCTTACAACTACTCCAAGAAATATATACTATTATGGTTCCTATTTTGTAGATAAGGAAGCTGAGATTTGGAGGGCGGGTATTCGTTACAAAAGCTGGCTTCAAACAAGGTAGCATAGTAACTCCAGAGTCACCCTTTGGACTCCTGCTTTCTATAAACAGGAAAACAACAAATGTTAAAAACCCCAATTACCAAAAAATTTAAAATGGCTATGTATAAAAAGGGTACTGGGAAGGAAATACACAAATTATTCACAATAAATACTGTCTGATAGCACTAGGGATGATCTTTAAAATATTTAAAAATGTTTGGTAATAACCAAGCACTATTTTTAAAATCAGAAAATATTTACTAATTTTAAAACAGCTAACAGCAACAAAAAATGCAACAGTGTATGCTATGAGAGTAAAACAGTGATGCTGGGACACCCATCCAGAAGCTCTTCTGGAGAAGAGAGCAGCTGGCTTTCCTCATGTGGAAATCACGTGTGGTTCCCTGAGCTCACCAATAAGAGACTATCACTGCACAGGGCATGTAATGAGAGTTGAAAATGAGAGAAGGAAAAAGAACAAAACTTTTGCTTTGATGAATATTTTTACAAGTGAGGTACCTTGCAATACTGAATTTGAATTTGTATTAATTTTTTTTGCCTTCAAATAAGGCCATCTACAAATGAACTATTTTGTATTTTGATGCTCACATCTCTAATGGAAATAATTTGTATGTGTGTATAGAATCAGGGACTGAATCCAGGGCCTTGTGCTTGCTAGGTAAGCACTGTACCACTGAAGCTACAGCCCTAGCTCTTTTATTTTTATTTTATTTTATTATTTATTTTGTGGTACTGGGGTTTGAACTTAAGGCCTCATACTTGTTAGGCAGGCATTCTACCACTTGAGCCCTTTTTTGTGTTGGGTATTTTTGAGATGGGATCTCATGAACTATTTGCCCAGACTGGCTTTGAACCTCCATCCTCCTGAGCTTTCCCTTCCAAAGTAGCTAGGATTACAGGTGTGAGCCACTGGCACTTGGCTTATTTTGTTTTAGAGATAGGATCTCATCTGACTTTGCCTGGGTTGGCCTTGAACTCACAATTCTCTCATCTCCACCTCCCAAACAGCTGAGATTATGGCATGTACCATTATGCCTGGCTAAGGAAACAATTTTTTGTGTCTGTGGTGCTGGGATGGAACCTAGGGCCCCTGTGCACACTAGTCATGTGCCCTACCACTGAGCTATATCCCCATCCCTGAAACAAATAAAGGCATTAGTATAGGCTCCGAAATGTATGTACTTATCTTTAAGTCAAAGAACTCCATGATATTGGCATTATGACTCTTTTGAGCTAAGTGTATGAGTGACTCAGAGAAGTTAAGAACAATGGCTAAAATGTGTCAATGGTAGAAACTAGCTGAAATGTTCTAGGAGGGAAATGAACTCCTGAAGAAGGATATATTGAAAGCCCCAAAGAAATCAGAAGAGACAGAGAAGATTTACAGATGTATCCTAGATGGCTGAAAGTTTTTCTCAAGGTAAGGCAATGAAGATGAAGAAGAGAAATCTACTTTGGCCAACCTGCCAACTCCTAGTCTAGCTATGAGCATACAGAAGGGGAACTGCCTCCCCTGTTGTTGCAGCACCTCAGAGCACCACAGCCTTGACTGGAAGTTAAGAAACTCTCCAAGAACCCAGGTTGCTCCTGATTATGGACAGATGTTTCACCAACCTGAGACAAACCCAAAGGAAGGGGGGAAAGAAGAGCTAGTCATTTAGAAGGAAGAGACATAAATGTGAACTTCTGGCACCTGCAAGGCTGATCACTGACTGCTCCAAAAACAGCATGTCTTTTGACTTACTTCAAGCCAATCATCATCTTTTTTTTTTTTTTTTTTTTGATAAAGGGTCTCATCATGTAGCCCAGGCTGGCCTGGAACTCTGTGTAACCTAGGCTGGCCTCACATTTACAATACTCTTACCTCCATCTCTCAAGTGCTGATTACAGGCGTGCACCACTATGCCTGGCCTTAAGCTAGTCTTTCCATTTTGCTTTTGTGGTACTGGGGCTTCAACTCAGGGCCTTCACTTTGAGTCATTCCACCAGGCCTATTTTTGTGAAGGGTTTTTCAAGATAAGGTCTCACGAACTATTTGTCTGGGCTGGCTTCAAACTGCGATCCTCCTGATCTCTGCCTCCTGAGTAGCTAGGATGACAGGCATAAGCCACTGGCACCCAGCTAAGCCAGTCTTCTTAATGTTGGGAATGGAGTTCTTGATAACAAAACAAAACAAAAAACCCTTCATACTGTAGAACTTTCCCTTACACATCTAGTTCAGTTCTCATAGGCCAATGAAGACCAATGGGAAGTAACATTCCCACTATGGTCTTAAAATTGAAATCATACCCCCAAATTCAGAATAATAATCTTTGTGGCACTAAAGTGACAAGAGTATTACTTTCTCCTGTGATTTGTGAGCTGTAGTAAGAGCATCAGAAAGAGAAAGTCAAAGGAATGGAAGATAAGAATTTGACAAAGGCCTATGATGTACCAACCATGAACAAGCACTTTACATGTTATTTCACTTAGTGATCCTGTGAGGTTGTTTGTACCTCCATTTTGTAGATAGGACGGCTAAGGCTCATGAAGGTACAATGCTAGCTTTTAAGTGTGGGGCACAATTTGAACCCATACTGATTCCCTTCACTATTAGGGAAAAGATTAAAAAAAAAGTTCACTTGTACTTAGCCTGTTCTCTCATGTATGGACTCAAGACATAGTACCCTTTACCAAAGGCCCATGGAAAGGACACCTAATCCCCTGGGCAAGATATGACAGCTCACCTCTCGGGTGTCTTTATCCGGAATTAGCGTTTGGAAGAAGAGGTGATGTACTGGAGGTCGCAAGAAGTACTTCAGTCTATGCAGGCAGGGTCTGTTGTATACCCCACTTTGTGGTATTCGTGCTTGTACCTGGGCAGACTTGGAGGTGGCAGATTCTGACAGTGATACCTCTTTTTTGGGTGGGGTTTTTGTGGCAGAAAGCCAAGGAACTTTTTCTAAGCAAGTGTCAGCCTGTGGACTGGGGGAGCAGCTGGGAGAGGATGGAGCTGAGATATCCATGGGAGTATCATGATACTGTACATCATTCTGGGGAGAATCAGGTCTGTCTTGTGGTAAGTGAGATAAGTCTCCTGGTAAATGTGACACATCTCCTGGTGAGTGTAGCACATTTGGTAAGCCTGGCCTATGTCCCAGTGACTGTGATGCATCGCCTGGTAACTGTGACTGTGGCATGTCTCCTGGTGATTGTGGAACATCTTTCAATGACTGTGGCATGTCTCCCATTGACTGTGGCAAGTCTCCTAGTGACTGTAGTACATCTCTCGGAGACTGTGGCATATCTTTCTGTGACTGTGGCATGTCTTGCAGGTGTGCCACATCTTGTGGATGTGATAGGTTTTGAGGTGGGCCTGGTACACCTTGAGGTAGACCCAGAGAGTCTTGAGGTGGGCTTGGTGGGTGCTGAGGACACCATGGTGAGTCTTGAGGTGGACTTGGCACATTCTGCTGAGGGCATGGCACATTTTGAGGAAGGCATGGCACTTCTTGAGGTGGATGAGGCAAAGCATGAGGTTGGCACTTCACACTCTGTGATGGGCATGACAAGGCTCGTGGTGGACATGAGGAGGCTCGTGGTGGACATGGTGAGGCCCTTAAGGAGCATGGCAAAACTCTTAGTGGGCATGGCAAGGCTTGTAGTGGGCAAGGCACATCAGAGGGCAAGGATACCCTCTGATTGCTGCTGCTATTATTATTGCTTGCTGGAGACAGGGAGCTAACATCTGAAGACAACTGTAGGCTTGCCAAGAAGCCAAGGTCACCTTTGAATGTGGTTGAGCTACAATTTGGCTCCACTGGACAAACAGAGTTCTGACTGATAGATGGAGGAGGGTGAGGACCTTCAAATGTTGTTTCTTCCAACAGATCCAAATCCACAGGATCACTGTTAATGATTCTCCGTGTTGCAGGCCGAGACCCTCTGTCTCCTCCACTCTCTGTAACCTCTTTGCCTGAGAGGCTGGCACATGTCTGAAGGCTGGCTGGCTCCTTCTGGGAGGGAGTGACAGGTTCTAAAGTCAAATCGAGAGTGGCAATAGGTCTATTTTCTTCCTCACTTCTCGTCAGGTCAATCACACAGTGTCCACTGCGATCTTTTGCCCTCTGTCTGGTTTCTCTAGTCAAGTCAATGAAGTCCTGTTGATGGACAGTGAGAAGAAAAGAGGTGAAGAGGGGAGTGTCAGCTTTATTTGAGAAGAATGGTATTTTGGCTTTTCAGAATGAGCATTTTTTGATGTCAGTTCATGGATCATTTGCCCATCTTATTATATACATAAGCACTAGTTTACTTTCTATGCTTAACATTCTGCTAGCATCATAGAGTCACAGCTGTCAATTTCTACACCCTCTAAATTATCCAAATGCCAGATACGTGTTAAGTGGGAGTGCAGGGGGAAATTTTTTGTGGCCAAGGACAGGAGAGTAGTGGAGAATATTCCAGTCTTCACAAAACAAAAAGCATACTTGTTTGGAAAGCAAATACACAGGATAACCTACGACAGAAACTAAACAAGAAGGTAAGCCAATATAAGGAGACCGATGTGCTAAGAACATGTCGGATGTTTTCATATGTCTTAAATTTCCCCAATGACCCTTGGGGTAATTATCATCTCCATGATACACATGTGAAAACTAGAGTTTCCAGGGGTGAGGTTATTTACCTAAGGATTTAGCTAACTAGTAGAGAAAAATTCAAATCCAGATTTGTCTCCTTCTTTCCTCCATTAGGCCTAGGAATGTACAACTTTATTCAGTATGCAATCAGCTTAAAATGAGATTCAGAAGATAATGCAATAGGGTTTATAAAACTAGTAGATCTGAGCCCTACCTAGAGTAATTAATGGAAACCTCCTCTCTCTGCTCCCATTCCTTGGCAATTTGATTAGGCAATTACCAGGTCTGATGATGCCAGCCAGGGGTACTCTCCTCAATCTCTATGCCATGAGCATGGGACAATATTGCTGTAGTTTCCAGGTGTCTTTTAACCTGTTTGGGTACATTAGGGTCCTTGGGCTGGCAAGGCTACCATTGCTACCATAGCCATTATGCTATTTCTGGTAAGAGATGTGATGTCACTATTGTCAACAGCACCAAAACCAGGGTGCACAATTCTGGGTGGGTCAAGAGAGAAGCTGGCACATACTTAATCCTAGACTAGGAAGTCTTTGGTGAAATTTAATGCCTCATTCCCAGGATATAGTGTCACTGCTTTCGATGACAGTGCACAGCCAGCTGAAGTTCTGAATTCAATCAGATGCCTTTTCTTTTCTCTCTTTTGCCTTATTGCAATGGTTAAGACATCCAGTATAATTCTGAATAAAAGTAGTGAGAGCAGATATTCTTGCCTTGTTTTTGAGCTTAGAAGAATTTCAGATGTTCACTGTTAAATGTTAGCTATGGGGTTTTCTGACCCCCTTTATCGGGTTAAGGACTTTCCTTTCCTACTTGTTGATTTGAATAGGAAATGACTTAAATTTTGCCAAATGCTTTCCCTACATCCATCGGTTTTTCTTCCCTTTTCCTATTAATATTAGAATTTATGTTTTTTTTTTTTTTTTTTTTTGCGGTACTGGAGCTTGAACTCAGGGCCTTCACCTTGAGCCACTCTACCAGCCCAGGCTTTTTGGAGATAGGGTCTTGTGAACTATTTGCCCAGGCTGGCTTTGAACCACGATCCTCCTGGTCTCTACCTCCTGAGTAGCTGGGATTACAGGTATGAGCACTGGCGGCCGGCAGTTTACTTTTCTAATGTTAAATTAACCCTGCAGTCCTGGAAATAGACTGGCAATCCTTGATTATGGTGTATTATTTTTTCTTCATTGTTAGGCTTTGTTAAGAATTTTTGCATGTTCACAAGGGATCGTCACTTTTCTGTTCTTGTAACTTTTTTTTTTCTGGTTTTGCTAGCAGAAAACTACATTCACAAAATGATTTGAGAATTATTCTTGTCCTTTCTATTTAGGTTGTGGTGGACTAGTACTATGTCTTCCTTAAATCCATTCACCAGTGAAATTATCCACACCTGTAATTTGCTTTGTAGGAAAGTTACAAATTAAAACTACAAATTCACTTTTTAGTAGCCAAAGGGCTATTTTTTCTATTCTTTATTTTTGACTTGTTTTTTAGAAATTTGTCCATCTCATCAAAATTGTCAAATTTATTGGCATAAAACTGTTCTTAATAGTCCCTTATCAACTTTGTAATTCTGCACCCTGTATAGATTTATTCCTAATTCCTGTTTTTAGTCCCAATATTGGTAACTTGTATCCTCTGTATTATTGTCCCTACTCAGCCCAGCTAGAAGTTTATCAATTTTATTGATATTTTCAAAGAATCAGGTTTTCAATTTCATTTCTTTTGGTTATCATCATTTCTTTCCGTCTACTTACTATGGATTTAATTTGCCCTTCCTTTTCTAGCTTCCTAATGTGGACACTTGGATCAATGATTTTAGACTTTTTGTTTGTGGTGTAGTGGATCAAACCTAGAACCTTGTGCATGCTAGGCAAGGGCTCTACCACTGAGCTACGCATCTGGCCCTTTTTTTGGGTGGTACCTGAACTTAAGGCTTTGCTAGGCAGGCACTCTGTACTTGAACCAGGCCCCGGTCCTTTTTGCTTTAGTTATTTTTTGTATGCTCAGGCTGGCTTGGACCACAATCCTCTTACTTATGCTTACCCCATAGCTAGATGACAGACGTGCACCACCACACCTAGGTTTATTATAGGTTGAAATGGAATCTCTTGAACATTTTGCCTGTGTTGGCCTTGAACTGCAATCCATCCAATCTCTATCTCCCAAAGAGTTAGGATTATAGGTGTGAACTACTATGTCCAACCAGTTCTTGGTTTTTTGAAACAGTCTTGCAATGTAGCTCAGACTACTTTTAAACTCACTGTGTAGCCCAGGTTGGCCTGGAATTCTCAATCCTCCTGCTGCCACCTCCCAAGTGCTGGGATTATAAATGTGCACCACCACACCTGGCTTAGACCTTTTTCTTTTTCTAACATTAGCAACTAAAAAATTCACTGTAAATACTGTTCTGTCTTCATTCCGCAATTTAAAAAATGCAGTCATTTTATTATCATGTAGTTGTTACTTTTATTATGGTCAGAAAACATTTTAATATTTTTAAATATGAGACTAGTTTTATCTCCTAACACATGACTTACCTTGATGAGTCTTTTTTGTGCACTTGGGGAAAAAAACGTGTATCCTGCAGTTGTTGGTTATAGTTCTGTACATGTCAATTAGGTTATGGTAGTTGATGGCGCCTTTCAATTTTTTTAATTTTGGGGGGATCCAGTTGTGTTATCAATTATTGAGAAAGGTGTATTACAATGTCCAACTATGATTGTGTCTTTTACAATTTACCCTTTAGGACAGTTAGCTTTTCTTCAAGTATTTTGAAACTCTGCTTATTACACATACACACACTTATAGTTATTTCATCTTCTTAATGTATTAGCTCTTTTATCCTTGTGAAAGATTCTCCTTGGTCTTCAGCTATCTTCCTTCTGTTGATGTCTATTTTTGCTCGTTTTAATAGAGCTACTCTGAATTTCATATGCATGCTTACATGACATATTTCTATCTGTTCACTTTCTTTTTCCTTTTTTGGTGGTACTGTGGTTTAAATTTGGGGCATTGCAGTGGCTAGGCAGGTACTCTACCACTTGAGCCATGCTTCCAGCCCTCTGTTCACTTTCAATGGATTTGTGTTTTTGTTTTTTGATCTTACTATTTTTTGATCTCAGCATTTCGTGCTTGCTAGACAGTTGCTCTACCACTTGAGCTGCACCCCAGACCTGTATTTGTGTCTTTATTTAAAGTATGTCTTATATACATAGTACATCTTATACAAATAGCACATAGGTGGTTCTTACTTCTTTTGTCCACTCTGACAATCTTGCCTTTTGACTAGAATTTTGGGTCCATTTATACTTATCTATTTGTTTTTCAAATCTGCAGTCATGCCATCTACTTCCTATTTATCCCACCTATTCACTGTTCCTCTGTTCCCACTTTCCTTTCTGCTAGCCTCATTTTGGCATTCCATTTTAATTTCTCTGTTGGCTTTCTAGCTATACCTCTTCAAGTATATTATTATTATTAGTGGCTGCTCTTGGGACTTCGGTATATAAATTCAATTTTTTCCAGGGTGCTTAAAAAAAATATTGGATTACTTAGGGTAAAAATACAGGAACCTTACAAAATACCATTTTCCCTACCCCCATCCTATATTTTTTGGTATACATTTTACTCTTTATTTCTTTTATAATTGTTTTTTTCTTTTTTGGTATACATTTTATAAACACTTATGTGTTATATCTGCATACACTGTATTCATCAATATAGTATTACTATATTTGTCTTCAAGCAAATAGTATTAAAGAAATTAACAAAAATGTTATATTGTTTTTACGTGCATGTTTACAATTTCTGATGCTCTTCATTCCTTTGTGTAAATACAAATTTCCATTTGATGTTAAAACTTCAGCCTAAATTTCTTGTAGTGCAGGTGTTCTAGTGAAAATTCTCTCAGTCTATTTATTTTTAAATGTTTTTAATTTTGCCTTTAGTTTTGAAAAATAATTTTGTAGACATAAGAATTCTTGGCTGAAAAGTTGCCTTCTTCCATTGTCTATTTCAGTCCAATGTTTTTCAATCTCCACAGTTTAATGAAAAGTCAGTTGTTAACTGCATCACTGCTTCCTATGTGTAACAGAATTTTTCTCTGGGCAGAGTGATGTTCTTTATGCTTGTTTTGCTTCGAGTTTGTTGTACTTCTTGGATCTGTAAGTTTTTCCCCCCACCAAATTTGAGGAAATTCTAGTCATTGTTTCTTCAAAAATTTTTTCTAAAACCTATCCTGCCCTCCAAGACTCCAATTACACATACTTTTGGATTGCTTCATATTGCCTGACATGTCTGCGAGGTTCTAGTCAATTTTAATCTCCTTCCCACTCTATTATCCACTGATTTATCTGTAACTTCCCATTTCTTTTGCCAATCTGTTTAATCTCTCCAATCTTCTGTTGAGTCTATTTAGTTTTTTTTTAGTTTTATTTCTCTGTTGAAGATTTTCTATTTATTCACTTATTGATTTATATTTTATCTATTTTTGGCAGGTTTTG